AATGTCCTGTACATGTGGCAGAATTGACAAATAAAGTTGACTTTGACTTTGACTTTACTTTGACATTTAATAATAAGTTATGAACATGAATACCTAGATACGACACATTGTCGTGCTCTAACATTAAGGTATTACGTTAATGTATCTCTGTGCCAAGATTGTTGTCTGTTAATAAAATCATAAATAAAATAATAAAAGTTGACTGTCACCACAGCCTGGATGTGGATTTGAAACATTTTTAAGTCTTTTATGCATTGAAATGTGTTTACCTTTCTTCTTGGAGTTTCTCTTTATAAAACTGTTCCATTGCAGCCAAACTGTTAAAACAAATCAAAAAAAAAAAAAATATATTATATACATACATATACATAGTATATATATATATATATATATATATATATATATATATATATATATATATATATATATATATATAAATATGTGTGTGTGTGTGTATGTTGATTGACAGCGGATACAAATACTGTTTCATGGGTGTCTATAAATATTGCAGAGATATAATTACCCTGCTTTTCTGAGGCTCAATTGGTAAAATGTGTTCACCTCCGTCAAACTATTTAAAAAAGTAAACAGATTAATCTGTTAAAACACATCAGATCACAAATTCATCATTAAACAATAACACATCAACACTTTTAAACATAATGCCAAACATATAGAAACCAACACTAACTGTTTAAATTCTACATTTGTCTTTCAAATCAATTTTTTTTTTGTAGGCCACTGTTAATAAGCAATATTGCAAAGTTATTGATCAGTCACACCACTCTGCAAAAGACTGCAAAATTTCACAGTTTAATACTTTAACAATGTAAGTGCAAATATGTTATGTGATATTTCACCAGATTATACCAACAGTACCTCTCTTTGACTGAATTCAGTTCCTCCTCATGACGTTTCACCACCATACTGTGAAACAAATATACAGCATGAACAGATAAAACAGGATGAAATAAAAAGAGGAAATGAGAAACTTGAGGCACTTGTGAAATATGAGAAAAAAAAGAATGTTTACTTTGCCTCACAAAGTTTTTTTCCCATCTCAGCCAAACTGTTTAAAAACATCATAGAGAAGTTATTCACAATATACAATATATTCACTCAGCCCCTTGGTTAGAAATACATCTGTATCTACAGTTTTGTGTACAAGTCCACCACCGGATTCAGCAGCTTGTAGAACATGCTTTAGCAGCAGTAACCTGCAGTGATGTAAGATAAGATAAAAAAAACTTTATTAATCCCTCGGGTGGGTTCCTCTGGGAAATTCGGTTCCAAAAAAGCACAGCACCGACAGAAGTTACAGAGTTACAGAATATTATATATAAATATAAATATATACACACATAGATAAAATATACAAAGGGGATAAATAGAATAAATAGGAATAAAATAAAAAATAAAAATACAAGTGAATTGCACATTTCAAGTATAGTCTATTGCACCGTTGACTATTAACAAAAAAGTATTGCACAAAAGGTATTGCACAGTGAAGTGAAGAGGCAATACAGCTTAGTTGTTCCCCACTTTATCAAGTCTTGTGCTTTGTTCACCCCTAGCTTTGCAAACCTAAGCCATTTAGTTATGTTATTTTAGATAGAAGAGGATTTATCTTGCAATCCTTACAAGCAGCCGTGCTTGTTCAGTCTTTTTCTAATTGTGATGTCATTAATGTTAACCTTTAACCTGCTCACTGAGGCCTGTAGAGTTCCTGGGTTTGTTGCACAACCTTGTGATGAATTTGCTGCAACACACACTCCTAGGAAGAATGTGTTGTTCTCTAGCATATTGACATGAACTCTCCATATGTAATGATCCCCCACCCTTTGGTTTTGTTACCTGGATATTTCTTTAACCTCCTAAGACCCAGAACTCCTCCAGGCATTTTTAATTTCTCTTTGATATTTGGGCTGATTGGGACCTGATGAATGTAAAAACAAAGAATTACCAGATTTTTTTTTTTTTTTTTTACCTATTTTGTTTTCTAAGAAAAATAGAGCCACATAGGATATTCGTTTAAAATTTCATAGAACAGTAGCAGTATAATGTATGTATCACCTGTATGTGTCATCAAACCATCTTTGAACAGAGGCGGTGGTTTACAACACCAACTGTCTGCCATCTATAATCCTGTTTTGAGATCCCTTCCCAGACGCCTTAACGCCCATTTACATCCTGGGCCATCTGACCTCAGGAAATCACATGATAGGGTGGGGCCAGGTTTCACAATGAAACCCCAGCTTAAAAACACTACAAAAGACCAAGGATAAAGGAGGACTAGAACTGCCTAACTTTCAGCACTACTTCTTAGCCAACAGGCTTCAGTTTATCTCAGGATGGCTAAAACACACCCTCTTAGATGAACCTTGGCTAGATGTAGAACAAGCACTCTGCAATAATCTAGAGATCTCAGACCTACCATTTATCAGCTCAAACATCCAACGACATGAATGCTTTAAAAGCATCAACATCAGCTCTTCTCTGACAGCATGGTGGGAGTTTCTAAAATTGACGGCGTCTTCATTAATCCCATGCAAACGTACACCTATCTTTGAACAGAGGCGGTGGTTTACGACACCAACTCTCTGCCATCTATAATCCAGTTTTGAGATCCCTTCCCAGACGCCTTAACGCCCACTCACATCCTGGGCCATCTGACCTCAGGAAATCACATGATAGGGTGGGGCCAGGTTTCACAATGAGCTCACCCGAAACCCTGGCTGATTAGGACCCACACCCGCTTTCACACCTTGGCTCATGTGATTAGGTAGAAGATCATCAGGGGGTCCCTCTTTGGGGGGAAACTCCCACTGGGTTTAAATCTGGGACTCCCCACCAATTGGACCTTTAGAACTGATGAAGCTTCTCGGATGAGAGGTGAAACATCTTCAAACAACTCAAGAAGTCCAGACGCTTTTCTTTCCAAACTCCTTAGACCACACTTCCTGATGCTCAGTAACACAGGTCTGGATTTCTGGAATGTTTCTTTTCTGTTACTTACTAAACCAGTAAAACTAAGTTTAAAAATCAATGTTGTCAGGTTTCAGGGGCGGATCTCATCCATCTCTCCACCCTCATGGGAAGGGCTGAGGCTCCCCAGACGAGAGGTCACCCAGTAGCCACCGAGCAGAAGCTAGAGGGGGCTGCACCGGCGTGCCTGCCGGCTCTGCCGGTAGCCAGCTGTGCCAGAGTGAACCGAGCCGCAGGCCCAGAGGCCCGGGCCCCCCGCGCCCCGGAGAGGCCTGACCGAGCAACAGGCGCCAGGCCCCGCCAAGTAGCCACCGGGAGTGAGCTGGTACATACCTGAGCGCCCAGCCCCGGACACCAAGAACCACCAATGCACCGACCCCTGAGGGCATCAGTCACCGGCAGGGAGTGTGGTGAGGGGAGATAGGCCTCCACACTTTGGAGGGCCTGGGAGTTCCCAGAGAGGTGGAGTCTAAGACCCGACCTGACATATAGACACAGACAAACAGGCACACACAGACACAAACATGCATTCCCACCCTCATGCACACATATACACACAATCACACTCCCCGAACATACTCTATACCCTGGGTCCAGGTACCCTCGCCCCCAGAGGGGGAAACAGCACCCAGACCCAAGAGATGTTACCCTTCCCCCCGGGGTGGAGGCAAGCAGCAGCAGGGAGGCCAATCGGACAGCCAACATCACCTCCCAGCCCCCCTGCCCCGATGGCTAGTAGAGAACGGGGGTGTGTGAAGACCCCATACCTCCCTCCTCCCGCTCATGCGTAGTGTTGCTGCGTGTTGCTCTAAAGTGCATTTAATAATAATAATAATAATAATAATGGATTGGATTTATATAGCGCTTTTCAAGGCACCCAAAGCGCTTTACAATGCCACTATTCATTCACTCTCACATTCACACACTGGTGGAGGCAGCTACAGTTGTAGCCACAGCTGCCCTGGGGCAGACTGACAGAAGCGAGGCTGCCATATCGCGCCATCGGTCCCTCTGGCCAACACCAGGCAAGTAGGGGTAAAACAAGGGAGAGCATGGTGCTGCTGCCAGAGAGCAGCAGGTGTTAGCACGGCCCCTCCCGAGAACCCTCAATGTCTACATGGATTTAAAATTGAGAGGTGGGCACCGGCGCCAGAGGTAGGTTTGAGTACACAGACCGTCCACTGGACGCCGTTAACGTGCCCACCCTCAAGGCCCTATATATATGTGTGTGTTATGAGAGTGTAAGTAATGTGGATGTCTAAGTTGTGAGATAAAATTGAGGCACAGGTGGCCAGAAGGGGACAGAGGGGGGAGATGTCTCCCCTGCACCCTGGTGACACACCCGCACCCCAAGGCCCTACCTGTGTGGGTGGGTGTGGTGGAGCGGGAAGAGGGAGGTAGCTGGGGATGGGGAGGAAAAGAAGGGAGGGTTTTTATCGTTAACTCGGTTTTCCTGGGTCTTTTCACGTGTGTTATGAATAAATCTTCTTTTTTTCGGTACCGGTACTAGTTTTATTTTGTTGTATTTATCCGCGACACCTTAAAGGCCGGTCCGTGAAAATATTGTCGGGCATAAACCGGTCCGTGGCGCAAAAAAGGTTGGGGACCGCTGCCCTACATGCTTGTACCTTGGAAAATGTTTGTCTTTGTGAATATTAATGTGTTCAGAAACAACTTTTATATGTGTTTACCTGGAGTGAACTGCGATGCTAATGTAACGCACGTGTTAAGCTAGGCTAATCTTTAAGTTTGTCATTAAGATGTGTATTAGCTAGCAATTTATTTTCACTTTCTGTATATTTCAGTTACAAATAAGAAATAGCAAGGAGAAGCCTTGAGAGAGATAAGGCTTTAAAGGATCTTCATTAAAAGCAAGAAAAGCAAGCCTTGTGTGGAAGATCTCGTCTATTTTGTTCGCTAGCTGTCTAGCTTCACATGGTCATGTGTCGTGAGCAGGTACAGGTTTATTAAAATAAGATAGCATTAACACTTTGAGAGGATTCACAGTTAACAGTAAATATAAATGCTAAAACTAAATACTGTATATATTGCACAGTGTGTACCCCCCCCCCCCCCCCCCCCCCCCCCCCCCCCACACACACACACACACCATTAACAAATGGTTCAGCCTTGTTTTCAGTAGCAAGCGATGTACAAAATTCAGTAAACATAAACCTGAACTCAACAGAAATAATGAGTGATGTTCTACAAAACTCTTCAATGACAGTAAACTACCAAAATATATTGAGTATGTGATTACATGTCTGTGTTGGCCTGTATGCTAAATGGCCACTTCTGCTGTTTGTGTTACTATCTGGTGTATTAGGGAATTGTATTCCAGAATTATGAAGAAATATTCATGCCCAAAAATATTAATTTTACATTAAAAAATTATAAGCATTAATTTCAGAGTAAGGTTTATTGAGGTTTCTTTTTTAATATTATTTGATGTTTTTTTAATAAAATCTTATGATGAGATGATCACATAGCAAATTATAGTATAATTCATGCAGTCTAAGAGAGATACTCCCATACGGTTTATGACAAAATTTAATCCGAAGTGATTGATGGCCCTAATCATGACCTTTTGACCTCCCCCCTCCCCCCCGGAAGCGAGTAATGACCGTGACGAATTGCATCCGGAGAAGGGGGGGCGGGAACCCCCCGACATCCGGAGAAGGGGGGGCGAACCCCGGAAGCGCGCCATCTGTCGCTAAGCGTGTCGAATTGCATCCTGAGAAGGGAGGGGGGAAACCTCCGGAAGCGCGCCACCTGTTGTTGGGAAAAAAAGAAAAAAGTTTTTAGAGGGAGGAGAATAAAAGCAGAGAGGAGGAGTTCACAATTTCTAAGGCACAGACAGACAAGATGGATTTCATTCTGCAGCCCAGCAGCTCTCCTGTGTCCGATGAGATCTGCTCTCCCAAAGAAGAAGGCTTTGAATATGCCATATTCAAATACAGCATATTTACTAAGGAAGGCCTCGATCCGGACCTTATGACACTTCCGGAAATACTCCGGAATTGTCTAGTCATTTTCAGACCTGATGCGTCATGTTCCATAAACATGAGGGGAGGGGTTTGGTTCCTGAAGCACAGCGGTGATGCAGCAGCTGATTTTGTGCTGTATAGAGAGACAGAGCGGCAGCTAGTTTTCCGCAAACTCATAGTCTGAATTCTGTTTCAATATTATGACGATTTTCTCTGTATTTCTTAATGGGAATAAAGAGTGACTTCCTGTAGAGATTTCAATAGTATTTTATTTTCCTATAATACAGACGCAGTAAAAAAAAACCTTTAAGATACACCATAGCTTGTGAAGGCTATCTGAACACAGCGCTATGAAAGAACTTTCTATCCGCTTGTAACCTACAGGCTGCCTATGTGTAAAAATACAATACAATACTTTCTCTTAGTGAATACTACTTTTCCTTTTGAGAGTCCTTTTTACAAGAGACTGAAAAACAAACCATAATTGCCGTGACAGTCGATCTTGTTTCACTCACACACACACACACACACACACACACAGCAGGTCAGCATTTGCCAACAGCATTCCAACAATATCGTTCAACGATACGTTGCGATGAAAACAACGGCACAAGGTACAAAAAAAAAAAAAGACATTGGTACTCCAATTCCCGCGGCGTACACACAGCAGATAGACACAATCATCACCGTCAAGGAGTAATGCTTATAACCTATAACGCGTCCCCCCAAAACAATATATTATTATTATTAAAACATCTATATGAGGTAGTTTTGCACAGCCTGCTCCTTGTCAGACCAAAGTTGTTTTTTTTCATTCTAGTACTTTTACAAGGGTTTTCTCAATAGACAGAAAATGAAAATGAGGAGTCAACAGCCGATATTATCATGCTTGTAACCCGGTAAATAATTTCGTACATCTCCCAATAAAATAAGCCTTAGTGGAAAAAAGCTCATTTTCAAATAAGTTTATTCCCCTCTGTGGGAAAGAGTTTTTTCTCACAGTCAACCATGAGGCGAGTTTTGCCAACAGCAATTGTCCATTTGGTAAAACAAATATCCGTCTCAAAGTCGTATTTTACCGTTGCAGAATGTGGAAAACAGACGGCGTTCACAAGAAGGTAATCGAAAAAAAAAAAAAAAAAAAAATTTTGGTACCCCAACTCTCCCGACTGCGCGACACACACACACACACACACACACACCGCGGGTCAAGGAGGAGTGAATGCTTATAACCTATATCCCCCCAAAAAATATTATTATTATTATTAAAACATCTATATGAGGTAGCTTTTGCACAGCCCTGCGGTCAGGAGGGCTTGCAGACGCAAGAGAGAGTTTTTTTCTTCATACTTTTACAATGGGTTTTCTCAATAGACAGAAAATGAAAATGAGGAGTCAACAGCCAATATTATCATTGCTTGTAACCCGGTAAATAATTTCGTACATCTCCCAGTTTTTTTCCCCTAAGGCATTTAAATACGCTCCAGAAATTCTTAATAATTCAGAACATCTGAATAGCACACTGAGGTAACAAGCCTCACTCATTCAAGACCTTGAAATATATGTAGGCCAGTTCATTAAAACAGTTTCACTTGAAGCTAACAGAAGTGTGGATAGGAATGAAGGAAAAAAGGATTCCGTTTATATGCCTTACATTGTCTCATATATTAAAAAAAAAAATCACTGTATCAATATGTTTTGCTCAGATTTACTTCTACAAGAAGCTGTTGTGTAAGACTGTTACAGCACTCATGCAGAAGCCCATTTCAACCTGTCCACATCTCTGATTCTTTTCAGCAATTCACATAATTCACTGACAACTGGGCCAATTAGAGCTCTGAAGGACTGAGATCAAGTACCCGGGAACAGAGCAGAAATGTGAGGTGATTTTGGCATGGTGACTAGACCTTGTTAGTGCAACTTCCCACATTCGTTACAAGACGCACTGTGGCCCAAAAACTATTCTTCCTAAGACACTCAATAATAACGAGCAATACAAACCCAACAAAAAACTGCTTCATAGTATGCAAATTATGAAAAATTGATCCATATCAAAGTGGATAAATATTGTCTGATAGAGCTGGAGAAACCAATCTATCATTTAAATGAAGGAAATCATATTTGTAATATGGTTTCCAGTTTTTCTTGGACCTCAGTCACACAGGCCTGGAGACCAATTGGCTGGACTGTCTCTCAACTATCTGTCTCAGCTGGTTGGCAAGTGATTGATCGAGGTTGAAATTGGACACAAAGTGATTTACAGTGCTGCATTACAATAATATTCCTTATGACTGAGCACATTGTCAGCTGTTTGCATGAAATATGCCAACTTGTCTGCAAACACTTGTAAACTACTTGCCAAGAAGTAGTTAAACTATGAAAAGTGCAACGCAAAACATCTGTTTGCTTATTGCTTATAAAGTAAAAGTTACTCCTTTTCAAGGAAAACTAAAATGCAACTTAATTAAAAATTTACTTTGAAGGTGAATGTTGTATTATATGCAGCAAAGTGGAAGTTAATGTCTTGTGTGCAAACTGTGGGCTACTGTGGCAATCTGATATTGACCAAAACAGTCCCAAGTAGGTTTTTGTGCAACACAATCTTTTCTACTAATTTCACTTGGCAACAACCAGAAACCACTCACAATTGGTCAGGTAATAGATATTTTTGCCAAGTGACTGGAAGTTGCCAGCAGCTCACCAGCTGGTTGCTATCTCTGTGTGACTGAGACTGACTCCATCTATGACTGAGAATGAGATTCCTGTGCACATGAAAAAAGCATATATTTAAAATGAATGGATATGAATGGACCACTACAAATTCACCATTACTGATAAATGTCTTTATGAATAAGGTGGAGACTGATATATACACACTAACAATGAAGCGAGTTTGGAAGTGCCAATAACTGCAGTTCCTCTAATGGCCACTTGTCACTTTTTAAATGCCCAGCTTTGTAACTTGTAGCTCCAAATAACTAAAATGGTGCTGGCCAAAATGCTAATGTTTAGACCTTAAAAACCCACATACTATAACTATACTGCCAAAAGTATTTACTCATCCGCCTTTGCATGCATACAAATCTGAATATCATCCTATTCTTTCACAAATGTTTGTAGAGGCAGTCTGTGTGGCTAGGTGTTAGATTTTATACACCTGTGACCATGGAAATGATTGGAGCAAATTCAATGATTTGGATAAGGGAGTGAAAACCTTTAGCAATATGGTTTTTAGAGAACTGGAATTACCCATGTAAACAGTGTTTTATAGTGTGACATTTTGTCAAAGCTGTATATACACTGCACGTTAGGCAACAAAAGCACCATTCAAATACAATACAGGATCATGATACAGTAAATTAAATAAGAATTCTGCCAGTAGTTCAGGCAGTGAACTATAATCAACCTCAGCAACACATTCAAGGTATCAAGAGAGGTAGAAAGACTGCTCAGCTAATCGTGTGTGTTATTTTCTGAATTTCAATAACTCTATTTATAATTCACTTATTCACCACCTCAGAGGATTGTGGCTTTAAAGAGTATAGCTGGACTTATCATTTATCTTGTATGTGCTAGATTCCAGGGAAGATAAAACACCTCTACTCACATCCAATCATCATCATGGCCACAGCAAAGATTTTCTCTCCGTCTGTCGTTGGGGCGATGTTACCAAAGCCTATACTTGTCAGGCTAGTCATGGTGAAATATAAAGAAGTGATGTAGACAGAGTCATTGTTAGGCCCTCCATCCCAGTTCCCTGAGCTGTCGTTGTAGTAGTATGGTGTGCCCACTGTCTCAGCCAGGATGTAGAGCCAGCTGTCCTTCCGAATGATGTTGGTTTCCTCATCAATAATCTCATAATAACCAATGCTGTACCTGCAAAGTGCAAAAATCAATCATGTATTTTACATTCCATTTCATTCTTAATATTCAGTTCATAATTACATCTACTTACCAGTAGAATTTGAGTCTTAAACAAGGCCTAAAAAAAGCTTCTAGAAATGCTTCCTGATGCCCATCACATGGAACAGATAGACGTCTTCTATCAATATACCGCTACACACAGAAGCCTTCACACTATGAGTCTATTTTTTTTTCTTTTGGCACACTTTCCAAAGCAAAATCTCCAAGACAGCAGCTTGAATTTCCAAAAAAAAAAAAAAAAAAAAAAAAAAAAATCACCCACTGTTTATAACTTTTTAATGGTACCCATAATGATTTTTTAGCTTACCCCATGTCACTGTGTGCTTTCTAGCTCCAAAAATCTATAAAAACAATGACTTTCCATATAAAAAAATATTGCCGAGTACTTTCTACTGAGCCTACATGAAAATTATTATGTCAACAGGTCCTTCTGAGTTATAGAATGAAATTTCTATTGACTGCTAATGATTATGCATTGCACACAAAGAGTGTAGACTCAAGACTCAAACCATGAGTCATCAACTGCAGAAGTTTCTATAGAGATGAAATGTACATACATATTTAAACTGACTTGTTTTCAGTTTGCTGTCCTCCTTTATGAGACAATGTTTAAACGGTGAGGAACAGGTAAGTGAAAATAAAATATCCCATTGCACATCCTCCAGACTGAGCTGCTGATGCATAGCACGATGAATTCAAGCAGATCAGCACTTTCTGAAATACTCAAACCAGCCTGTCTGGCACCAACAATCATGCCACATGACTGATTTGATATTTACATTAATGAGCAAACAAACAAGTGTATCTAACAAAACGACCAGTGAATGTACAGTTATTAATCTATTTAGGGAAAGTGGCAGTGATTGGGGGACAGTTTTTTTGGTTTTAAGACAAAAAAAAAATTAATATCCACCAATTCACTTTAATTTCAGGGAACTGACCTCTGAATTTTTCAGATTGAGTGAAAAAGACACACAGCTTAAAATACATCTGCCTGAGTTCACTATTTACATATAAAAGCTCGAAGATACCTAGTTTCTTGCAGAAAGCCCTGGAGATGAAAAAATACCCCTAGCAATGCAACAAACGCTGTTTTCATTCCTTCTTTCTGTTGTGGGTTTCTCTATGGAAAATTACAGAATGCATTTCCCCTCATCTGACTGTATCATCTGAATATATTTTTATATAGCCCCGAGGAAGCAAAACTCAATAGTTTTTATTGCATGGTTTGATTATGACTTTCTTATTTACAGCCTTGGTGTTCATGTCATGCTGCAACCACCTCCATTTTTTCCCTTGTTATAAAAACAGTGACAGCAACAAGGAGAGAGGGAGGCTACGGCTGTTGCTCCTGTCATCTCACTTGATGATGGTTTAACTTTTCTCAAGTCGGCGACACGGTTCGGCATGTGACCATGGCAACCACAGAAACCATTTGGAGGGAAACGATACAGGAGCTATTTTTACCGGTATTATTGTCTGCTTCAGCCTATCAAGTTTGATTACACTGTCTGGATCCAAAAACAATCTTTATGACACTGGTTACAGCCTCCGTTTGAAATCTTCTATGTTAATATGTGTAATTAAATGTAGTTACGAGGGCTTTTCACGAGACCTCTTATGAAAATGAAAAAATATCTACAAAGGAGAAATGTTCATCATAAACTGCCAAACATATTCTCGTTTTTATGCATGCAGGACATTAACTCGTCACGATGGGCTCTGTCAGTCACTCTGCATGTGTAGACATTCTTATAAACATAATAAATCAAGCACGACACACAATGGAGAGTTAATGCTTCTGCCATACTTGCCCCCTGTAGAGCAGAAGATCTGATTAGACTTTGGAGGCCTTTGCTCCATAAATTTGCATATTAATGGGAAGGAAAAAAAACTAATTCCCTTGAAACTACAATAACGCTTTCTTGACTTTAAAGTGTGGAAGAACATGCAGTTTAAAATGTGTGAGAACAAGGATGTTGACAAAAAGTAACTGATAATTAATGACCTCATTATCTTAATCAGTGACCTTGTTTCTATTAATTAGCTGGGCTGTTATTGCAAATGTGGCAGAAAATCAAAACATACTATGTAATTCAAACCTACAGTAAAGTACAGTAATACCTCAAATGTCACATGATTACCCGTTAAGATGATTTTAGCAATTAAACTAGAATTCTGGTTTTACTGTATGAGACAAAACTGTATTATTATTAATAAAGTGACTTGAACATACCAAATACAGGCCAGCCAGTGAGCAGCCAGTCCAAAAACACACACCAGCAGCACCAGGACCGCTGCTCCGTACTCAATGTAGTGATCCAGTTTACGAGCTACCCGACCCAGCCGGAGAAGCCGAACCACCTTAAGTGAGCTGAATAGACTGCTGATGCCCTAAAACAGGAGAAAAGTACACACAACAAAGGCAGGTATCAGAAACTATATTTCAAGATCTTTCAAACTGATATGATTTTACGTCAAGCTCTTGTGAATAATATCCAGCACTTTACTTTATCTACAATAATTGTTCTGCACTAATACAAAGCTTTTCTTTTAGAAATGCTGTTTATAAAAACATTTAAAACACATAATATTACACTGTGTTCTTGTTGGCATCCATGGATACCTTGTAGAGTAAAAAGTAACCAATGGTTTGATGAGCAGGTTGCTGTTTGGTTACTCTCATCTCACAACATTTCACATGTGTCAGGTGGAGGTGGTAATGTACCACAGAGTGTAGTGGTTACAAAAAAACCCAAAAAAAACAACAACAGGTAATTACCAAGTAATTTGTCTTTAAGTGTTAATCTAATTTAAATATTTGTTGCTACTTTGGAGATATAATTTATACAACTACATTATAATGTATTCACAAGTTTTAGCCAAATTTATTTAAACTCTTGAATTGTTAAAAAAAACCAATCTGCAAAGCCCTGCTTGCTATAAAAGCTATTTAACATGTAACATTTCAGCAGAATAATAGTTAGAGCAATAGCATTAGCAAAGTCTTTAAAAATTTCTTTACAAACGTTCACCAAATGTACAAATATTTTTCTTTGGTCATCTACTTCACACTAGTAGTGGCTATATTCCCCACTAACAGCATGCACCACCCACTGTTTGTTAATCAGTGATATAAGGTAATAAATCCTAATTAACAAACATATTTTAATCTGTATCTGTTCAAACATGCAAAAGTAGCAGTGGAAATCCAAAATCCGAAAATGAAATAAGATTCAGTGTTCTACTGTGTAATGATGTAATGATATATCAGAATGCACAGAGTGAAAAACAAAACCTGAGATGCATTTTAAAGAATAAATATGAGTGTTTATGAACCATAACGTAACAGCAAACACAAAATACACAAATAAGACGAGGAATAACAAAAGACTCCAAGCATCTGCTCAGCTGATTTTGAAAACATTTATGTAAAATGAGATTAAATTTTGCAACTTCCTTCAATTACATATCCGGCAGCTAAATGTCTGCTCAGCTTAACTGTATGCTGAAGCACCAACACAGTGATTCAGACAGACAACTGCAATCGCATCAGTCTCCTTTGCAGTTCAGTGCTAGTGTCATAATGCAAGTGTGTGTGCGTGTGTGTGTGCACGTTCAGTCAAAGATATTGATTTTGCTAATGTGCTGTGGTCTGCAATGCCAGTACAACTGCAGTGCTCGCTGTCACTTGATCTGATCTAGCTGCCTGCCAGACACCTCAGGTTCTCTGAAATCACTTTACAGCTCTGAGCTCTGCCATGATTTAATTATCAGTGCAATCGTGCTTCTGAGTTCTGCTGCAAACTCTACAAGCACAAGTTGGAAGAAAACTTTGCCAGTGAAGAGATACGAGAGAGATTTAATCAAAGGACAAGCTGGTAGATGTGTTTATTTGCCTTTTTGTGGAGATGCACTTAGATTAAATCATTGTGTCTGTGCACTAAATATGGCAGTAGCACCACAGTTATTCCAAAACACGCATGCCAGCATTAGAGCTCATCCATGATCACAGGATATCTTGTTTGTTTCAGTTAGATTTGATTTGTGGTTTTACCCAGAGTAATTACATTTTATGATGGATTTACACTGCCTCATAAAATGCATACCAACCTACTGGGGGCTGAAGGACAATGTGATTGGATGCTCATGTTGCTGATGCTACTGCAGTTTGGTGCAAGTGGAAACAGCACTGAGTAAATTAGAGTGATTAAAGTATACTTGGTTCTTGTTGTGCAGCTTAGTTTAAGATATCATGTAGAAAAACTAGAAATTCGCACAATTAGATTTAGTTTAATGTCTGAAAATTGAAAACTTCCATTTCCTACACACCTGACAACCACGCAACTTTTTTAATACAATCTACTCTCACAACTAGGATTCTGTGGTATTTACATTTTTACATAAAACTAAATGGACATTGCCGTGAGATTGCCTTTATTTTGCATGATTTGGGACAAAGCAAACGGTTCAGGTATCACTGAAGAAAAAAATCCTAGTGTTATAATAATATTCAATTTGTTTGCTGGGATGAGCCAAGAACACTACAGTTTAACTGTAACATAAGATATATTTTTCACTAATAATTTCTTTAAAACAAGCTTTTTATAGATAAAGTTTACTCTTAATAAAACTAATAATAAATAAATTCTAAAAAATCTCAGATGTGTAAAACAATGGTTGAATGTCATTTTATCCAATAGATAACAGCCGTTTCTGTTTTTAAATTTAAGCTTATCATTTAAAAAAAAAGGCACACTGTTGTTATCTCGTGTAATCGTTTAATTGACATTGTTTTGGTCTTGCATATGTCAGGTACATAATTAATTTCATATGACATTAATTTGGCAGCTGTAGCAACACTAAAAAGTTCAATATTAAAATACGTGGTAAAAATTCTAGTTTCTGGCTGTCATAGTCCTCAGTTTTTTGGGGGGGTTTCTTTCTCTGTCGGTCTTTTGTGTCTCTGTCAGTCTCCTGTGTCTGTGTGTTTTATATCTTTTTTTTTTTTAGCTGCTTCATGTTTTATTATAAAGGTTATTTCTCATGTGGCTTACTTCCTGTCTGTGTTCCTTTCTCACCCTTGTTATAGTTTGGCATAGCTCACCTGTGCTTCATTAGCCTCTGAACCCGGTTATAAATTTTGCTCTCCCTCAAGTTTTTGGCTGCATTGCTTTCCTTGACCCGGAGTTGTTAGGAGATTTAGTATTTGTCCTTTTGCTCTTTTGCAGTTTCCTGAATTTTCCTGCAGCAACTTTTGTTGTAATATAATTCTGCAAGTTTCAGTAAAAAGCCTTTTCTTTAACTTCCTAACAGTGTGCAGGTTAATGACCACCTTAACCTACAGACTGGATCTATTTCAGAACTTTGCCCTTAAACTCAACTCTAAGGTAGCCAGTTAAGTAATGAAAGCCATCAGAGATAGCTAACAGCAAGAGGTGGTTCTTATACAATGTATATGTGGTATATATGTATACCACTCTATATTAGAAACACACCATCTTAAAAGACATTTTTAATCCCAGGATGACTCTTGTTGAAAATTTAACTATAGTCAGTTTGTCATAAATGATTGCTGATGTGAGGACTCAATCTGCTCTTGTGCAATTTTAATGAACCTCATTTTTAAATATTGCATAAGACAATCCTGGCATTAAAAAGCTTTGCAGAGAGAGCGAAAAAAAACAAGAATCCCATATCTTATCTTGACAGTTCATGCATTTATACTGCCTTATCCTCGTTGAGAACATTGTGCACCTATTATAATTGTTAAGGCCTGATCGATGTGTGAATGTGTGTCTAAAAGTAAAATAAAAACACATTCTATGATATTCTAATCAAACTGAAGCCTACTTGAGTGACAGCTCGGTGGTTCCAATTCTTCCCATCACGTTCCATGCATGAACACAGGCAGAAGAGGATGGGGGGGCCATGCAAACAGAATGGAGGGATAAAAAGAAGAAAACAAAAACGAAGCACAAGTAAGAGAAAACATACTTGATCATTGGTAAGCGATGAATAAACACAGTTTTAAAAAAATCAACATTCAATAATCAAACAAAAGGAAACACAAAGGAACATTCTTATCTGTGTTTTGAAAGTGTTTACAGTGCAAAGCACGCACTCAAAGCTTTATTATTTCAAACCACTTGCAACATGAGGTGGTCCATTTATTGTAGTTTTGGGTTATCCCCGAGTGAAAAACCAAATCGGTCAGTGTTTCAAATTGCCAAGAATAACTTTGACAGCGGCTCCCCGTTAATGAGCTTCTCTTTTCTATTCGGAAACCTGTTGGGGGAAAACAGCCATCAAAGTTATTCATGTCAGCTGTTAAGATCTGCTGCAGCAGCAAGATGTTTCCATACCGGTTTAATAACACAGGCAATTGTTTGCTCACTCTCATTTACCCTTGCCATGGATTGCCTCAAAGCAATTTGGACCAAATTGGAGTCACTGAGTTGTCACAGAGACACAATGGAAGATGATCCTGAGTTTGCGGTCATGGCTTTGATGTCGGTTTACAGCCAATGCATCCATTACCTCCATTGCCGTATCACATTTCTTACTCACAGCAGATGCATACATAAGTGTTAGGCTGCACTGTTTCATGTAAGGCTGCATCAAATAATTATCTTCGCTGCTGCAGATGTTTTTATGAATTAGGTGGTAAATGTCAAGTCCGTAAAATAGTATCTCAAAAGAAAGTCCAAGTAAATAGCTCTTTTTTTTACTAGCTTTGAAATCTATATAAAAAAATTAGAATTATATCCAACTGAGAAAACCACTGACCTTTGAATATCTGACATATTGTTTTGATAAACAGCTTATAAATGGATGACAATCACCTAAATGGATAATTATTTCAGAAGGCGACACTGTATCCATGGCAGCATAATAAGCAAATAATCACTTTAAAACGGAAAGAGTGAAAAATAAAAGTAACATATGTTACAGAATAAGGCCAGCAACACCTGACAAGCAGTGTTTAGTTGTCAGAGCTACATATCATATAATATTCCAGCTACGTCAATGGAATAGCAAGTGACGTCTTTTCAAGTGCATACCAAGCATGCTCAGTTTACAGTATACTGCACTGACTATACTGTGCAATGATTCTGTTTCTTAGACAACTGGATACTGCTGGATGCCATATGGTGAAATCGAAACACACATGTATGCATGCAAGTTTTTCAGTTTTTGCATGAAAGACGACTGTTAAAGTTACTGAGGACTGACAAAATGTAACCAAACTAAAAGCACATCTTTGTAGCCTGGCTCATACATTTATTTCTAGCTATAAATTAGCTTTTACATGTTTTTAGTATTATTTATGATTTTATCATTTTCTCTATGTTCAGTAATCAGTAAAGAATTTAAAATTGCATTAACCTGCATGAAATGCACACTATAAAATAACTGATTATTTCAGGTGAATTTTAAGGGATCTATAAAACCATTTCTTCAGTGTTTGTTCAGTTGCTGAATTAGTAGCCTAGGGAGTTCTGATCCCTAGTAGCGCTGTGCATCGGTTATAAAATAACCCCAATGCTTCCACTTCCCTGAGTATGTCGGGTCCTCTTGGGTCTCCGTTATGCAAATTTGATCATCAGAGACCTCTTGCAAAAATCCGCTTGCTCTCTCAATTTCCTGTGACCACAAGTTCTGACTGATGCACCAAAAACAGTCGCTTCTGAGTTCCAGAGCTATCTGCTGCATTTGTATTCAGGAGAGTATAGTCAGCCAAAATGAGTCTCCAATTTATTTTGGATACAACACACATTAAATTCAATTCAATTTTATTTATATAGTGCCAAATTACAACAGCAGTCACATTAAGGCATTTTATATTGGACAGTAGAGACGCTATAATAATACAAAGAAAACCTAAACAATCAAACACTCCAGCTAATGTTTGACCTCAATGCTCAGTGAAAGAACACAATCCATGTTTGATCCCAATGACATTTCAATCTACTGTCAAACCAGCCAATATTCACAATTTAAATCTACAATTAATGATGCATTTACTTACACTGGCAGCAATTTATATAATCAACTGTCTTTTTTAAAAATAAACTAAGAAGAACTCTGTAGCTCTTTCATATACTTTCAAAAGATTTTGTCAATGACAAAATCTATTCAGACAGTCCATGGTTGGTTTAGTTTTTCTTTAATGAGCATCACACGATCAAATAACATCAGCATTCAAGCTACAAAAAGGTTGCTGCTTTTCCTTTCTACTGACCCCTGACTGCTCCGGTCAACTGAACTCGTCAGCATTTAGAATGCTGAATCGATGAAATACTAGAAAGGCTGAAATGCCTGATCTGCAAGCACAACTAAATGCTCTCTGTCCACCAATCAGCTTTACTACTGCATATCTTATACTGTGTGGGACACCCAACAGTGCGCAGTGAGAAACTGCGCCGTAAACTGCTATTACAGTGTTTTACACACATACACACCAAGAGATGTGGCACATATACACACACCGAGACACAAAATGATACACTAATATAATGAATACACTTTAAAGTGCCACGTTTGTTTGAGGGGGGGTAAAAAGATCTCCAGATACATTTACGCCAGATTCTGAAGCTGCGTTTTCTCCTCGGACATCTTTAATCACAGAGAGCTAAACATGTAAAATATTTTACATGTAAACCTTCCTTCAAGTTATTTTTTCTCTTTATTCTAAATGCAGATGAGAAATGGTATCACGTAATAGACCAAATAACCTTTTTTCCCTTCAGAGAACCAACCAAAGTTCGGCTTTTAACAAACCTTCCTTCATCACATTATGAAACTGAAATTTATCCATTAAAAATGGACTAACTCAAAGTGCTTGTCTGGTAGAATGGCACTATTTCCCATGATTATTCAACTGTCATTAGGTGTTAATGGCTTTAGGGCATCAGTGACACAGTGGAGCACTGGCGAGTGGCCGAGTTCAACAGTGTTAACGCTCCTTCCTCAAATTAAAATGTGCCAATTATCTCGAGATCCTGTGATGGCTCTCCAGCAAACACTCATCACTATAGTGGAACATTTATTCACAAACAAGCATATTATTAAGCCGTTCATTAAAACTTGTTTTTTAATGTTCCTACCCGAAATAACAACCAGTGAACAGGTTCTGATACAGAGTAGTTGATAATGTGGTTAAATGGCTGCATGGTAACCTAATAACCTGTCCATCAAATCATTATTTACAGGATTTTAATTTGATTTTAACAGTAAAATTATTTTTCTGTTGTTTAATCTTAATGTGAAGTTGCTGTTGATGGCTCTGAGAAACCAAAGTAAGAAAAGTCCTGATTGGTTTAGAGGGCTTACAGTACATTTTCACATTTTAGAGAGGGTCATAGAGCTGGCACCACATGCTGTAAAGAATATATCACAATCATCTCACAAACTTTGGATTAAAGTTCATTTTAACTGTTAAATCTTTACATTGGCTGAAGAGTAGTGATGATCGCTTAGCAACAAACTTTTTTAGATATATTTAGATCCAATAACTAAGATCCAACTAAGAGTCTCGAGCATTTGTTTATCCGCACAACAACATACACTGTTCTTAGGGTGACTGATGAGAGAATAAGCAGCAGAGAATGCAGCAGTAATCTGATGCAAAGTGATGCACTTATCACCAGCAAAGTCTTCATCTTTAACAGCCATGTATGTAATCTAAGTCCCTTCTTGTGGGAAGTTTGCAGCAAGAGAACATGATAAGCGGCTGCAGTCACTGTGAAGCGCATGCCAGCATCAGTGCTTAATCTACTCCGATAAACCATTTAGTGTACACATTTCAGAGTAACACCTATCCAGATGTTTTATATTGTGTTTGCTGCCCTATAGGAAAGAAACAAAGGCCTGGTTCATGCAATGTTATCTTTCCCCCATTGTTACTGCAGAGATGCATATGTCAAACTACTAATAAGAAGACATGGAAGCTTAAAAACTTTCTTAGAGATCAGTTATTACACAGTGGAAAATTAATTTCATGCTTTAATATGTTAATATATTTGTGTATTTCCATGTTGTTTAAAGTGAAATTTTAAAAAATAAAATAACGGTGGATAACATGTATTTCAAACATCACTGTTAAATGATGTATTCAGTTTGACTGAAGAGAATCAGAATTAACCACAACATTAAAACCACTGAAAGCTGAAGTAAGATGCATTCATCATCTCATTACTACTCAATATTCTGCTGAAAATCCTTAAATCCTGGCATTCATGTGATTGTTTGCATCTTAAAACATTCTTGCAGGTCTAGCATAAAGGCTCTCCCTGACAGCTGTGTCCTCCTCTAGCAGCAAACACCTTTCGGGAATAGCTTGGGGGAACACTACAAAGAGTCTAAGGTGGCATCCAGAGAGGAATCGATATGGCAGCCAGAAATTCATTGACAATTAGTGACTTCAAGTGTAACAAGGGGCAAAAAGACCAGCTCTAAGACAAGGATACAACAGCGAAGGATACTGTTGATTTACTGATGACAGATGGTAAACACATCAGGGGCCTACTACCTAGGCAACCGGAGGCTGGAATGATCACCAGTGACAAAATGTCACCTACAAAGTGACGCGTGACAAGCTAATCACTTAAAAACCCCTTAAAGCACCATCCTCTGAGGTACCAGACATGACGGACACCACCAAAGGTCCATATGGCTGATGGCTTTTTATTTTATCACCAGTTTAGAATAATTTGCTTGTTACTTCAAGGTGTTTCAAGACGTTATTTAGACTGACCAACAGTCTAAAAGGATTAAATCTAAAATGATATGCATTCATATTACTTGATTAGTAGAAAATGGGGAAACAGCCAGTAACCACTTAAAAATACCTAAAAATAATACATTCAGTTTCTGCCAGGTCAAGACAGTCCAACTGTTTTGTTTACTATGAGCCAAAGCAAAGAAAAACAACATCTGCTATTATTTGGGAGTCAGGTTTTGAATCAACAAATCATTTGAGCCATACGCACAGTGCTGCACTCACCTCATCTACATTCTCGAAGGCGTTGATGACATCATATGGCAGGCATGACAGCAGGTCAATAACAAACCAAGTCTTAAGGTAATTCATTCGAATCAGCTTGGGGTCTGAGATGACCTCACCGGCAGGTCCAACAAATGTGGTGTGGAAGTTTAAAACTATGTCCACCAAAAAAATGACATCCACAATGCTGTCTACCACCAGCCACGTGACGTTGTTCTGCTTCATCTTGAAGGAGACATTGTAGGGCACCATGATGGCGGTGTAGAAGGTGAGGATGAGGATAACCCAGTCCCATGTGGTCTTGAAGAGGCAGTAGTGCAGGATGATGTGAGGTGGAGTTTTGGGAGTCTCCTGCTTGTACTGAGGTAGGATATCAGAGCCGAGCTGCAGAACCTGCACAAAAAAACCCAGTTAATATGTGAAGCTCAGCGCAGACAGGTAAATTGCCACAATGGGGAGCCAAAAAAGCTGCAGCTAAGGTTTGCAAATCCTTTTAGTGACTGAAGTTCACCTGCTCATGAAAAATGTGTCCAAAGTTAGCTCTTGTTCATTTACTCCATTTTCCCTTTCATACACAATATTCATATTTTTATTAGATTTTCACCTACTAATGACATTTAAGCATCTCACATCTGTGGACATTTTATTTCCTACAGAATGTAACACTATTTAACTTCAACAGTGGAAAAAAAATCTGAAATTAAATCCAATGAGCGAACCTTACCTCAGCGAGGCGGGAGTGCTTGTGGACGTTCTCTCCTTTGTGAACCGTGGGCTGCAGCTGTTGTAAGACTCCTCTGCTGCTTGTTAGAGCACGAGTCAGCCGGGCGAACTTTCCCCAGCCTGATCATTAAACACGGACAGAAAGCAAATTTTCAATATGAGTCTTGATACTTCAGATTTTTCCAGGGGCTACAACGTGCTTTCGCTGCTTGTAGAGTTGTGGCTCTGAAATCACTTTTTTCAGTATTGAACATTTGCTCAGCATCTGCTACGTATGCATATTAAAGCTTGATTATTATCTGGGTATGCAGGGCGTCAACAACTTCAACAAGCTTCAGATTTCAGTTTGAATAAATTCATGATTCCTCACTTTTACAAAAGGCCAAGCCAAGAAACACGGTTTCAAGGCTCCTGATACAAACTGCCCAGCAAAAGTCTTATAAGCCAAATAGGACAGAACATGATAACAGCCTCTGGGTTTTAAAAAACTGTTAAGTTCTTGGTCCGGGCGAATTAAAGAAAAGTTCATCGTAAAATGTTAGTCAACCACTGACAGGATGTGGTTTTCTATAGTCCTGTGTTTAATTTTTTAAGTTACCTTCATGGACATTGTCAGACCACCTGATCATATACGATCTCATGAGATCATGAGTATAGGTCTGTTTATATCTTCTGTCATATGCTTAGAAACATACATTATCATATAGTAGCTTGGAGAACCACTTTTAGCAGCAATAACTTGAAATGTGTGATCAGTCAGTCGCATCTTTGTGGAGGAATTTTGACCTACTTCTCTTTACAATGTTGCTTCAGTTCATTGAGGTTTGTGGGCATTTGCACAGATCTGTTACGTTCCCATCACAGCTTTTTAGGCAGGTTGAATCTGGCCTTCGACTGGACTATGGCAGTTTGTCATAGATTTGCTGCTATGAGTGGGATCACTGTGCTGTTGCATGACCCAGTTTTGACTACGCTTTTACTGTCTGACAGACGCTCTCACATTTGACAGTAGAATACTTTGGCATAATGAGGAGTTCATGGTTGAGCAAGCTGCAAAACAAGCCCAAATCATCACCCCTCCATCACCGTGCTTGGTATGAGGTATCTGTGCTGATATGCTGTGTTTGCTTTCACCAAATGTAGCACAGTGCATTATGGTCAACGGACATTGTTAGAGAACTTCTGCAGTTTGCTCAGATGTAGGTTTGTAAAACCTAAGCAGTGCTGCCATGTGCCTTTTTAGAGAGAATAAGCTTTTTCCTGGCAACACTTCCAAACAACCTGTACTTGTTCAGGCTTTTTCTAATTATGCAGTTGCGAAGTTTAACATTTAACATGCTAACTGAGGCCTGTAGAGTCTAAGACAGGGCTGCCCAATCCCGGTCCTCGAGAGCTACTACCCTGCAGCTTTTAGATGCATCCCTACTCCAACACAGCTGAATCAAATGGTTTGATTACCTCTTCAGCATGCCATCGTGTTTGGCAAAGGCCTGATAACAAGCCATTCATTTGATTCGGGTGTGTGGGAACAAGGATGCATCTAAAAGCTGCAGGACGGTAGCTCTCGAGGACCGGGATTGGGCACCCCTGGTCTAAGATGAAGCCCTTGGATTTTTGCAGTTTCTCTTAACGTTACACGGTCTGACCTTGTGTAAATTTGCAGGTACGTCTGCTAATGGGAAGATTGTGGCATTGTGTACACACAAAGCTGAATGCTCCGGGCCAGAAAAAAAACGTTTCCTGTTATAGAGGTGGTCACACTTACTGATGATCAATTAATCAAGTGAATTTGATTAGCAGCACCTGGCTGCTACTTACCGTCTTAATTTCTGTGAAAACGGTAAGGGTATACTTACTGTACTCATACAAAAATCAGAGTCATGATAGACATTTTTAAGAAGGGATATTTGTGCACAAACATACACAGTGCAACTTATTGTGTGTTTTGTTTTTATTTCCACAAATCTATCAGGTCGAAAAATGGATCATATCACACAATGTTTAGATTTCTGCATCTTTTGGTCAACAAAATTGCGTGGGTGGCTTTGGTTCACTCTCATTAATGTTGTTTATGGTCACAGCAGGCTGCTGTTTTCAGCAAAAGCAGCCTACTGAGCACCAAGCAGCAGACAGACAAAGTTAGCCACTGGCTGGTGTACACTGTTGAGGATTCAGAATCATAAATTTCACTAAAGAGTTGGTGAAAACTAAAAATAGAGCACAGATGAGTGGAAATATTGGACCTATGTCCAATGAATTAAATTGTGAATTAAAGGATGAATCCTAATTATTAAAAATACCACTCCCTCTCTGCTACATGTGGAAACCGGCAACTGCTAGTTAGTTTAGTGCCCTATAGTGCACATAAATTTATTTTTTATAGTGATGAAATGCATTTGTCCATCAACCCTCCAAACGCTGTTTTGGCAGTATGTTACTACAGTCTCCAGTATCAGTGCAGGGAACACAAACATACATGTCTTTTCATCCTACCTGTTGATGCTCAAGCCTGAACTATAATTTCAGTTTCATGTTAACGACAAACCCCGTTTTTGCCCCTATTACTGGATGCACTCTTGCACTAATTCATGTTCTATTTTATCTGTCTAACACTCATACAGTCCAGTGAATAACTTTTTGTGCTGTGTACTGATAACTATGAAGATGAGGCACATTTGACTGGTGAATGGTGAAAGCAGGCAGACTGATTTCACTTCTACCTCTGAAGTAGATCATACGGGTCTATCGTGTGTAGTGGAAAAATAGATCTAACAGGATTTTACAGACTCATGTGGCGCCCAAGTATGGATGTACATTCTTTTTTTCCTCCTATTTTACCTCCTCTCACCCTGTCTGATAAAAATGTGAAGTTAAACAAATTAAATTTGCCCAGAGTCTAACCTTTGGAAGAATCGTCTTCAATAGGCTGTTTAAAGGCTGTGATGTCGCTGAATGTGCAGAGAAACAGGACCACTTTTTCTTGTTCATTACGAATGGGAGCAATCTTCACAAAAAACCAAACAGGCGTCCCTGAAAGTACAAAGAACAGCACACATTTAGCTTCATCTGCTGCTTCTTATAAAGGGAAAGAATCAGAGTGTGCATATAGCATAGTAGGAATCTTGATGGCCTTTCAAAACTTTGCATGTTACACCAGCAACAGGAAACAAACAACCCCACATTTTGCTGAGGAAGGCTCCTCTGGTCTGGCTCTCAACCAATTAGTACATTTCTAGAGGTAGAAATGTTCTTGGCTGCCTTTGAACTCTGCTGTATGTTACAGAGGCTCTGAATACATTTGCATGATGAGGAGACGGTGGAAGTTTTCTCTTTTCTCGCATGTAGAGTCGCTACTCACTGTTTTTCTTGTACATCAGTATTTCAAACGAGTTCATCTCATAATTCTCAAATGTTAGTCGCATTTTTTCCGTCGTGTCCTTGTCTGTGAGCTCCCCATACATGAAGCTGGAAAACACAAAGGGAAATAACAATTTGAAATCTTAAAAGAGAAGCAGCTTTCTCTCTTTTACTAAAAGGGTGGCGAGAAAGGTTTGAATGGGAAAATATCTTTAGTGTTAGATTACCTTGTGAGATTTTGTTCTGTTGGCTTAAAATCAAGCACTGCTTTGACAACTTTTTGTGTCACTGCATTTACCTTTAAATCATGCCTCGGTCAGGATTTCCTCTCAGTTTCACCTCAGTTATAAAAAATGATATCTAAACTAAGCAGACCAAGCTGTGTAAAATATCAAGTGGGTTCAAATTCATATAAATGTATCCTGAAAACATAAAAAGACAAATGCAGCCCTGGATGCTCATTGGCCAAATGCAAATTAAACCTGAAGATGGGTTAAGCAACCACGAACACTTTTAAGCACACTACAGAGACATTCATCTCACTTTACTTATTAGTGCCAGCCTCAGTAGCAGCCTGCTCCAGCGTGATCTAAATATAGTCTGTTATGAAATACAAAAGGAAGGCTAAATTTAATGAGACTAAATTCTGATGCTGCAGAGACTTTTCAGACCAGCGCTTGATGTAACATCAGTGACGAATGTCCTCATCTCACACCTCCCGTCTTTCCCCTGTGCGGGGAGGAGAATGACATTCTTCAAAGAAGAATATGTAAAAGCAATTCCTCAAATCACTTCATCATCATCATCATCATGTGTGTTTATAGAAGGATGTAACTGATGTGCAAAAAGAGCTCGTTATTAGACTCTGGAGAAATGAGCATACATCTTATGTTTGAGTCATCTTCAAAAACATTAAAAATCCATAATGTGAATGTTTTATGAGCTCATAATAAGGCACAGGATTTTTTTGATTTTTTTTTACATCAAATAAAAATAACTTAAACACCAGGATGATTAAAGGTGCCGGAATATGTCTGAAGAGAAAGTGGCTACTACCTAAATGACTTTGTTGTTTTTTTTAAATGGTTCAGATTAAAAAATAAAATTGATCTGGAAAGTGATCTTCCAGTAGAGAACCAATGGGCACAGCTAAAAAAAACCAAAACCCCAGAGTATCGACTCATGTAAAGAAATGCAGCATATATGAATTATTAACATGAGAACTGTGTAAGCTGCTGAGTGTATATAGCCAGTGACTCTATTCCTAACATACAGCAATGCATAAAAAGACAGTGTTGTATAGTTATCTTCCATAAGCAGTTAAACACTGGCAGTAACACCAGCGCTGCCAGGTTTTAATGAAATAGCTGGTTTTTGTTTTGCTTCTTGCTTGGCTCAGATTCAGCCTTTATGACCATGTTGAGGGCTGAGATATATCAAATTTTCTGCTTTCACAGTCACTGCCATGGGAAAATCACTTTATTACTGTGGTCATAATAGCCTTTTATACAGCTGGAGTATTGTAATTATGTCTTTCAATGCCAGTTAAAATATATATATTTAAGAGAGGTTGGCACAAGAAACTGTAGTTTCAACCTGAAAGTCTTTTGTTTTTGAATAATACCTTTTTTTCCTTAATTATTTGTGTTTAATGTAACTTTTTAAAGTATTTCTTTGTGTAAGAATAATGCCCCATTTAACATGATAAAATTAGACGTTTTTAGAGATTCTTCTGACAAAGCAGTAAAGCACCAGGAAATCTATTCTTCTTCTTCTTCTTCTTTTTCCCACGCTAATAGTGTTTGTGCCACAAAAAACTGTAAAAAAGCATTAACGTTGATGATATTTTTCAAAATTTCCACCACTACTCAGGGTTTCCAATCCTTTCTCTCGGGATAAATTAAATATTGATAACTATAAAATAATAATAACCGAAAAAATAATCTCAAAGAAAGGAGGCGATGCTAGTGTGTGCCGCTTTCCTAACATCTCCCTACAGCATGACTACCTCACAAAATGCTTACCCTGTGATTTTATAAGGCCTATAAACAGCCCCTATTGGGTGTTGCTAATAGGTCAGCAGTTGGCTTTTGTCATACATATTTAATAGCAATTATTTGCCTCTGTTTAGTTCACCAAGATCCTGCTTTAGACTTAAGATAGTAGAAATCCCCACAAAGAAATACAGGAATAAACGTGTGAAGAAGTGTAGCTACAAAGAAACAGGAATAACCAATAAAATGCAGAAATAGAGAAATGCAAGTTTATATACGGAAATGTTTTGTTTCATTAATTCGTTCACTGATAACTACTAATCACTGATTCCTCTTTTTACCCTCATCCTCACTCTTGTGAGCCGTTTGATAGTAAGTGCTCAGTATGATCTTTTCACCACAATAATTAAGTAATTAGTGATGAATATATCTCTCAGTGTGTTCTCCTACAATTCATTACTACCTATTGCAGAAATAACGCATTAGTAATTTATTAATTATCAGGTTTCCTCCCTCACTCGTTTTCTGCTTTCCATCAAAGACATTTGGGAGATTTTAAGTTTGTTTGTCTCCCTCTTTCAAACAGAAGCCTGCACTTGATTTACCGACCTGATATTAAACCACAACAAACCATTACACATTGGCTTCAATATTTGTATTGGCGAGTGCTCTGCAGCTTATGTTTGGGCACCCGAGGGTCTAAATCAGTAATAGCCGCAGTGCTGGCTGTAACAAACACCATCTCCCGCAACAGATGAAATCTCCCACGTTTTTCAGATTTGGCAGCACCAACTGTTTCACTGGGATCCTATTAATATGGTGGTTAGTGGCATCCTTATTGTAGGCACAACAAACACAAGTCCTGAAATGATTTACTCACTCCAATAACCTTTTATTCCTTTATGTTTATGTATATCTACAGGTTTACTATTATAGTCGGTGATGCAAAGGCAGTTTCAGCTGTTACAAGCTGATTACATCACAGATTTGTGTCTGGTTTCCGGCTCTGTGGCGGTGCAAAAAAACCCAAAACAATCTGCTAGACTGTGTTTAACTATGGGAATATCATATCAGATCTAATTGAATGGTCTGTGTAATTTGAACTTCCTCTGGTGAGATGCTCTGGCAAAAAGAATTGATTCTCCTGTCAGTTGGGTCTCGTATAAAGCCAGGCCTTTGACATAGCAAAGTTAGCCCACAGTGTCACTAATAACTGTGTATCCACATGTTAATTGTTAGGTTTAAGCTGATAATTGTATTTTTAGGTTTGAATTTGTGACAAATAAATCAAAAACTGATCACTCAGCTCTTCAGCCCTGCTAGAGACGCGGCTTTATAGACAGCATTATCAATCCCATGTCAAGTCCAGCAATTTGGCCCAGACTGAAATATCCCACCAATATTGCCATGAAATCTGTTCTGATCCCCTGACTTTTCCTACAATGTGTCATTGAAGTTGGCATTTATGTTTGGGAGTGTTAGGTCATGTCTCCTACCGGATTAAACATAAATAAACTCTGGTGATCCTTTAGGTTATAATGCAGGAGGAACAGCAGTAGTGGTTTTTGCATGTTTGTCACACGTTTTGTTTACAAATTATTACAAATTCAGTTTCACTAGCAACACCCAGCACTGATTACTGGCAGACCTGTTGAATCAAGAAAACTTAAAAGTGAAGTACACTAAGAGATCTCAAAACACAACACGTCATGCCAGAATTTAAAGAATTCAATATAAAAGTCATTGTAATCTCTTGGTCTGGAAAGGGTTACAAAGCCATCTCTAAGGATTTGGGACTGGAAGCAAACACGGTGGGAGCCATTATCCACAACTGGAGAACACTTCATAGAGACCAGCCTACCAAAATTACTCCAAGAGCACACTGACGACTCATCCATGAGGTCACAAAAGAACTCAGAATATCTAAATAACTGCAGGCATCACCCTCAGTTAGGATCAGTGTCCATGATTAAACAATAAGAAAGAGACTGGGCAAAAATAGCATCTATGGAAGAGCTCCAAAGCTGACCAAAAAGAACAAAGAGCCTCACATTTGCCAAAAATGTCCAGCCATCAGTTCATGCTCTGAAGCTCAAGCACACTCGAGTTATGCAGCAGGACAATAATCCATAAAACACCAGAAAGTCCACCTTGACAATCCTGCAGTGTGGCTGAATTAAAACAATTGTCTAAAGAACAATGTGCAAGAATTTCTCCAAAGCAATGTGAAAAACGGCCAGTCACAAACACTTGATTGCAGTTCTTGTTGTCAAAAATGACACAACCAGTTGTTAAAAGAGCAGTTAAATTTTCACACAGGCAGGTTTGGATAGCTTTTTAACCCCCTAATAAATGAAAATATCATTTAGAGTGTGCACTTTGTGTTTACTCAGGTTATCAAGGTTTAATTAAAGTGATAAGATGATCTGGAATATGTAAATGTACCTCAAGTACAACTTCACTGTACTGAACAACAAATCCCATTACTGCAGACGCTGCACCTGACCAGAAGCACTTCTTGCTATTTCATTAAAAAAATAACAGAAAAAACATTTGCATGTACTGCTGATGGGTGAATGTTCCTCTTATTCTGGTAATTAACAAGCAAATTTGCGAAGAAGTTCAATCTGAAAACACTACATATAGTCAGTTGTGGCATGTAGGGACTATTTGCAGTATAGGCTATATTTTCTATTTCAATTAAAATAACTCCAAATATTCATTAAAGGCAGATCTTTCGGATCACAAGCAACTACTGATTACATTATCCTCCTTAAATAAGGCTTTCCCACCTCACAACATCAGCGCGTTCTGCTTGGTGGTAGAAGGTGTAAATGCATAAAAACAAAGGAATTCACAGTAACTGCATCCATAACTAAAAATGGCTCCTATTGTGACAAAACTACATATTAAACTGTCTGATGTCGGATCAAACAGGCAATTTTTGTTTTTTGTTTTGTGCATTTTATGTTCAATATAGGTTTTTGTTGTGCCTGGAAATGAACAAATAAATGAATGAATGAATGAAACAGTGCCAACCCCATATAGATCTTTTAATCACAGGACCCAAAGTAATACCATACCTATGTGATGAAAGGATCTAAGTGAGGGCTCCACACATTTCTTTTTAATGGAGAAATTTAAACTAACTTGATTAAACATAAAGTGTGAATATTTTAGCATTGCCAGGAGCTCATCGAGACAGCAGCGGCCATAACATGTTCTCAAAGTGTCACTGAACAATCTTATTTATTCATTGACGAGAAACAGCTGTAAAAAAAAGTTAGTGCCATAACAACTAAATGCTTGAGGGCTTAATGAAGTATTTTGAGTCTAAATTTAAAGTTTTCAGTAGTACAGTACAATACAGTACATTACCTTGTTCTAGGCCAGGTTCGTGTTCAGTGTTGGGTTAAAATCGTCTGTAAGCTCCAATTTTTTTTACTGATTCTTTGAATTTTCAGTACTGTAAGTGTAAAAAAAAAAAAAGACATTCTGCTGAAGGAATACATTTTTACGTGCAACTTTTTGAGCTGTACGTTAGAAGAAAGAAATCACAGCAGTGCAAACAGTATCAAGTATCCCTGGAATTTGCACACGTTTAGTTGTTTGACTGCTGGACCTAACTGCACTTATAGCAGCCCATAACATTCAAATAGATCAAGTCTGAAGTAAATCTAATGTGTAGAGCTGCTCTCTTGGCGTATTTGTACGACTGGTTTTATGTTTTGTTTTTTATATTCTTTATACATCCCTGGCACTCATTCTAATGATGTCTTTGAATGAAGACAGCTCTTAATTAATCTACCAGTTATGTGCTGAAAAATAGCCAAATTACATGTTAAGCCCTCCTTTTACATGATGTAGTTTTAGGTTTTGCCAACCCAGAGCCAGGCTATGTTAAACTTTTAGTTTTTAGTTCATTACTTCTCTGTAATTAACAAATAATTGTTAAAATGAACAAAGCTAATGTTTATGTTGGGATGTGTTCATGAAATTCTCTTAATAAATTTAAATACGTATGACAGTTTCTTGTTTTTAGCTTTTAACGTACAATATATTAATGGATAGAGTTCCCTTTTGCCTACCTGCAGGTGCTGCTTTTCTGCATCACCTCTGCTCTGTGATACCCCGACAGCTTGCAGAAACCATCATTGCTGTAGACGATGGGCCAGTCCACTATCTGAGCATTTCCCAGGACAAAGTTGGTATCTGTTTTAGAGTGAACAGGAAATAAAAAGGGCAAATAACTCGCAGCATTTCCTAAAAATAGCATTGTAGTGTAACATACTTCAACTACAGGGTAAGGGAAAAGACCTGTATCTATCTTAAACTGAAAAAGTAAAAAAAGTTATTGACCACTATCCATCTATATCTATATCTCTCTTTCTATTTTATAAGCATATGTTTATCTTAGTAATATCTATCATTAAAAAGATTGGTGACTTAAAGCAGTTTAAAGATTTTTATTAGAGTCCATGGTCGCCTACGGCTCATTAAACACTCAGGGCAAGTGTAAACAAATGTAACCAAACATAAACTCTTTGCTTATGCAGAAAGCATCCAACTATCTGCTTCATTAACTTTCTCCTTGGCAGTGCAAAAACAGGTTTTTATTGGTTTTTTATATTTACCTATGTAGAGTTTGTAACAGGCCTAATTGGCTGCTTAATGTGTGTGTGTGTGTGTGTGTGTGTGTGTGTGTGTGTGTGTGTGTGTGTGTGTGTGTGTGTGTGTGTGAAAAAGTAGTTATGTTTGCCATTAATTTATAGATACAGATATTTACAGTTTTCTATATCTACCCTTTATGGAGAATAGAACACATTTGTTATCATGTGGCATATTTTGAATTATTCAGAGCAAAACGTATTTGTGGCTAAATAAGCTTAAATAACCAGACTCGCATGCGTACTTGCTTCCATCCTTTTTTCAACCTGTCAGCAGTTATATAATTAGCCTACTCAAGCTGTTACTCATGTCATAATACATTAAATAAACAGATAGATTTGCTATTTTTTTTTATTTTAGGGGACATTTTAAAAAACCGAGATAAAGTACTACATTGTGCAAATGACTGCAGTGGGTTTTTCTGGGAAACTTTGAAAAACTCAGACAAATTTTAACATGAATATGTGTCACTTTTACAAATAACATTTGCATTTAAATGAGAAATGAAATAACTTGTGCATATGCACATTTTGATATATAAAATGCGCAAAACATTACGCATATAATGCCTGCAAGCTAGCTCACACAATGACACAATGTTCTACAGGGATCAAAAACAAAGGAAGATTTTGGTGATTTTTATGGATAACATAATAAAATAAAACATACTATGTAGTAGTGGACATAGTGATTTTAGCTAAAAACTAAACATACAGGCATAAACTATAACAATGTCACAACACTGAGGTAAAGGAGCAGGAGGGAAGGAATTCAAAACACTGGGTCACAAAACACAGTTTATATATCACATCTAAACACAAAAACACATGAATAATCACTAAAAGCATGGGGACGATGCACAGAACATTTCATGCCAACATGTTATTTTGCAGTGAACACATGTTAATGTTGGGATCCTGGGAGGAAGGAGGCATCTGTTAACTCACTAATGGGTTGCAGCAAACATTTCAGATCTGAGCTTTGTAAATTAACAGCATTTGGTCTAGAACATTAAGTGTTACATTACAAAAAGAGAGACACTGACGGGGGAATATGAGCAGCACGCCAAATTAAACTTCATAGTACCTGTCTGCCTATGTGACAGTGTCCAAACTGAAATGTTTGAAAAGAAAAGAGGGTTAACAGATTACAGAGAGAAACATGCACTGAATGTCAAACAAACAGAGACACGCTTGTGTTTAACTTGAATAGCTGCTGATAGACATTTAAAGCAACTATCTGAAAAAAAAACTATTCTGATTAAGTTAACACATTAGTGGCCACATGAGTGCAGATAAAAACAGAAACAAGCATGCAAACTTAATCACATTTATAACCCTGTGATCAATTTTTTAAGCTTTGATTTCATCTTTAATAACTTCTGAGAGAAATATTTGCCACTTTAGCTGCTAATGGATTCAACTTTCTTCAGCTAACATCAGCTTCACTTATACACCCATTGCCCCACTCAGTAGCTACACTTGTTCAACTGCTCATTAACATAAATATCTAATCAGCCAATCGGCAGCAACTTGACATATGTAGGAATGCAGCCATGGTCAAGATGACCTGACAAAGCTCAATCTGAACATCGAAATGGGAAAGAAAGGTAATTTAAGTGACTTTAAATGTGGTAAGGTTGTTAGAGTCAAATGTGCTGCAGCTCTTGATGGGGGTCCTAAAAATAAGCATTTTTGGTTTAATTCGATCAAATGTGGCAGACGTGTAACAGAATGGCAACTGCATAACCTGACAGTACACTACCATAAACAACAGCAGCTGTTTCAGCAGCTGAATAATCATTCTAACAGCTGATCATCAGCTGGGCCTGAACTGGTAGCATTCTGTTTTTGTTGATTGGTTATAATTATACTAATTTCTGAGATGCATTGTAACAGTTTTTGAGGTTTCCAGGACACTTTTATGGCACCTTTACTCGAAACAAATAAAAGCGACCTGTTGTGCTTTACCCTATTTTATGTGGGACCAACCGTAAAAGTACCTAAAGTAATGCCAGCCTTGCATTTGCACATAACTGGATGAGTTGCAAATATAGTGTAACATTATCAGTGTTGCTCAGTGCTCTTAAAATGCCTGGACTACATACACTCTTCTACAACACTGCTACAGAAAAACATAAATACAAAATAAATTGTATAGCTAACATGACTATGTTCTACAAAAGACAAGGTAAGTTTATATTACAGTATCAAATATAACACTAATATCAATGTAATCTGACGTTGTTTCAGCTGTTTCTTCAACCATGCCTATCTTATATTTTTTTGTTAGTATCCTGTCATTTGAAAAGACAAGTAAACAGACGTATGCAGGTTGTTACTATGAACCAAATTTTGGGAGAAAAAGTTTCAAACAATGATCTCTAATCTCTATGAGCCAGAATCTCAGGCTTCAGTCTGTTTTTTTCCATGTGATGTTTCTATACAGTCGTCTTCTACAGGGGCAGCACGTAGAACTCTCAGTGCTGCCCCTCGGCAGGCTTCGAGATGTCAGCCAATCAGAGGAAAATAGACTTTAGTAAAGAAATCTAGGGATTGTTTTGGACAAGAGGACGAACTCAGGGGCAACATATAAAACAGGTATATCGAAGACGTTTTTTAAACTTTGAGACATGCAAAGCTAATCTAGTGGAATCCCAGAATAAAAATACAGAGGTGGAAATGAGCATAATATGTACCTTTTTAAGTTACTGACATGTGTAATTGAGCCATCAGTGCTGTTCTTTGTGACTGTTCGTTTCCTTTTAAGACAAGTGCTGAGAAAAATGTTTGACAGGTTTAAATGGGGAGTGTAAGTGAGAGAAGAGAAGATATCTGCATAATTTAAAAGTCAAAGTAGGTGGTGAACTGCTGGGCACGAAAATCAAAAAGTTGTCTTGAACACTGTCATCAAAATATAGCACAAAGCTAGCTATTTAAAAATGAATGACTGGTACATAAAAGGAATATTTCATTGTTTGCGAATGCCCACCCACCACTGTCTCAGTGGCATCCAGCAGATTATAGTCTTGGCTCCTTTGTTTCAAGCTTGGGAGAGATTTACCGCTCACTAATCCATCATGGGCTGCCTAAGGTCATAAGAAAAACATATGTATCTGCTTTTGTTTTTAAAGGGTGGATTTTCTTAAATATATTATACAGCTTAGGAATCCAGACATCACGCTGTAAAGCCAGCCTCACTGTGAAGAGATGCTGTCACTGTCTCTGAGCAGGCTGCTCCCTGTTTGTCATAACACATTTAAATGTAGATATGTGCAGCAGGAGCAGACTGACAGTGAGGCGGCGAGTTCATGCACAGAAACATGGTGGTTTCACATGTGTGAACCCCTATTTAAAACAAAAACATAAAGATTGTACGTATCCAGTAATTTTCCCAAAATGTGTCTCATGACAGAGGCAACAAACGCAGGTGGTTCTCTGTCACAGCTAGCTGTCAACTCTCCAGTCCGTGCTGTCACGTCCTGTTGGATCTAAAAAACACAGAAAAGCTACTTTCTGTGTTTTTACTGAAGCCAGAACAGTTGGCTTAACAAATCCCACTTGTCTCTATAAGTTTAAAAAAGAAAGAATCTTAATTTTAGTTCATGTTTTTCCTGAGAAGTCTGGTCTGTGTGTTTTCTTTCAGTGAAATGTAACTCAAAATGGTATAACAGAAAGCCTAAATCCTCTTTATTAACTGATTCATAGCACCAGTTACAACATGGTGCAAGGCTTTCCAGACTCCATGAAGAAAAGTGACAGTGAAGAAAAATAACTATTAGGATTATGTTTGGATTATGTTTGGACAAATGTCAACTACTTTTGGATACATTTTTAGATTTAGTTTAATAAATAATAATGCCTCAGATGTTGATAATAAAATCCCAACAGCTAAATTTCAAACTGACCTGTAACTTAAAGGGAAATTAAAGTGAATCCTATCAAAAGCAGGACTTTTCACTCTCTTTATTATACTGATAATCTATTTATGTGAAAACTGTAGAAATAAGTATCACGCCAGACATTTCTGAGCCATACAATCTTTCCTTGGACATTTCCAATGGTCTTATGTAATCAGTAGTACATTTAATGCTTGTAATGCACACAGTGAAAAAGTGAAAGTGAAAAAATGAAATAATTTTAAAGATGAATATGCTTACTCTAAATACATGAGTGAGATATTGACAGTCCTACTAGAAACATTAATCAGAATGTTTAACACCCAGTAGTTTTTCCCCTCCTGGTAAAAAGATCACAAAAATGTTACTTTAAAAAATCTCAATAAAGGATTCTTAATTAATTAGCCCTCCTCGTTATTTAGTTAATTAGACTAGTTGACTGTGTCGAGGCATTTATTATGTCTAGCTTTCCAAAACAGAGTAGATTTCATTTTTAATGTTTAAATCGCATCATCCTTACCGTTCGACCGTCTGACAATATTCTCCAAAAAAGTATTCTGAGGGGCCACAAGTCCCCTCCGACCCCCCGCCATCCTGCCGCTTCACTCAGTCGTCTGCAGGTGAATCGTTACTCCGCAATCTGCAGTTTGTTTTCATGGTGTCTCCGGCTCTGAGCGGATTTCTTGGACAGGGGCTGGCTGTCTGGTGTGCTCATTAGCTACCTCCCAAGCCCGGTGTGGTGCGTTGGCGCCTCTTTACGCACCTCATCATCCAGGAGAGGAGAGAGACTCTGGGTTGGCTGTTATTGACTGGTGTTACTAACAGGACCTAGAGCTCCATCTGCTGGACATAATTATGCATACACTGAAAGTTCGCAGTGGCTCCTGCTCTCAACAAACTGCAGTAGTGGAACTAAGAGCGTTTAAGTCACGCGGGGATTAGCAAATGAAAGAACCCAACAAGCACAACTCTGATGGCCAAAGGCGAAATGGAACCCCTAGGACAGACGTTTTGAAGTCATATTTCTCTTTGGAAAATAAATTAAATATCCACACAGAGGCCAAGGCAACTGCAAAGGGACTCAAAAATAACCTCAAAGAACTGAAAATGACCTCCAAACAGACTTGTAGGAACAGTAATGCTGAACTTTGTGGTTTCCTCTTTGTTTACTGCCGTGAGCTCTTTCTAGAACATTTTTTTCATCGCCTCATAAATCTTGCTCAATTATTTTGGACTTGTAGTTGGCCACACTAAGACAGGCTAAGAAAACAAATCCTGCAGTGAAATTTCCATCGAAATTAAAACAGTTTAGGTGGAAAGAATGACGTCATGAATGGTTTGCAGGTGAGGGCTTCAGGTTTTCTGTCCTCACAGTTTGGGCTCGCCTGTTGTTGGAAGTCTAAATCAGACTGGATGGCTACTATGGAAACCAGCAACCTGCCTGCGCTGCAGAGAAGCTCTGGTTACCGCTGTTTTGTGCTACACCAATTAAAAAGGTGGAAAATGGCAGAATCTTCCTGCTGTTTTACTATTTCACTGTCCTGCACACACTGATAGAAAGAGAGGAGCAACCAGAGCACATTATCTTCTTATATTATTGGCAGTTACACTTTAACCCCTCATGTAGCATCTGCAGGCATTATGCACACAAAATCAAAGTGTTTATGCTCACCATGTGGACGTCATTGACGATAAACCCTCATTGGGGTGGGTACATGAGCCTGATGGCTCCATTTAAGGGCAGATGATTTCCGAGTCAGTGTTTGCTTTTCTTTCTTTTCTTTTTTTTATTTGGTCACAACTTACTCCAGTCTTTCCTTAAAAGGATAATAATCAGGTCACCTGCTGGCTTTTCCACCTGTCTGGTGATATAATTATGAATTATTACATAAAAGCAATAACTGTTATCAGACAACAGTGTAATGCTGCGTGTGTGCAGATTGGTTGTGCTCTCACTGACAGTCAGTATCTTCTTTAGTGCTATCAATTAACTAAAACACAGATTTATGTAGAACACAAACTATATCAGCATCTCATACTATTGTTTGTGACACTTCTTTAAACCCTCATTGTAAAAAAAGAATTTTAACAAAAGTGTTTATACTATACAGTGAATTATTTCTTATATCCACGGCCAATACAGCATGTGTTATGCATTGTCTTCTTTATTGCTTGGAAATGCTGAATGATGTCTTAAAGTAAACTACAGATAAATTTGCCTCAGGTCTGTGTTTCCATTTAAGGGCATGTAATTTGAGTTTGTGTTTGGGTCACACCTTCCTTCATGTCCTTAAAAGGTTCTTCCTCCAGATACGTATTGGTTCTGTCAATATTACTGATATGTGATGGCAATAACCACTGTTAGACAACAGTGTTGTGCTGCATCTGAGTTTTCATGAGGGCCAATAATCCAGAGTCTCTGGAGAGCCTTAGATTTGTGGCAATAGCAGGAATCATAAAGCATATCTTATCACAAGACTACAGAGCAGTAGATAAAATAACAAGGCTCATTACCTACAAACACAATTCCTTAAAAGGATCAGTGAATAAAACCAAAGCATTTCCTTTAGATTAAAAAAAATATTCCTCTCACTCTTATAAAACTTCAAAGGGTCAAAAAGGCTTTACAGTCACAACAAATTAAAATGTGTTCAATTGTTTGTTAAAGTTACATAATTGCGCCCTAAATGCCCCAGAAAATCGATATAATTTCTCAGTTTTCCTCATGGAATACAATTGTGCAGCTCATTCAGTTAAAGAGCTTTTGTAACCAGTGGGGAGGCTGAACTTAAAAGTGTATTGTGTTGTTAAGCTCTTAATGTTAATGATGCACAGATAAAACGTGGCTTTTGAAGAGAATTTTATCCAAAGAAAGCTACATCGAAAGGAAGAATGCCAGTCACATTTTCAGCCGAACCCAAAACATCTGCGAACAGAGAGAGTGAGAACGGTCTTTTGGGAACACTTCAAGGTGGCTTCTCAGTTGACAACAAGCAAATCAGTAATAATAAGCCATAATAAACAAAAACAGGGCTTCTTTGGACAAATTAACTGTTTTAGATTGTTATACTATAAACACAGTCTTTGCATGTCACTTCACACGTTAACTTGACCAGTTCTTGGTGATTCTCAGATGACTCAGGTGATCTGTGATGCGTTTGTGTTCAGGAAAATTCGCAAAGCTGGCCTCCTTGATCTTGAGCCAGTTCTGGGCTCTGCGTTCTGCTGCATGCCCGTGCTCCTGTTCCTGGGTCATGTACGGCCGGCTGATCCAGTACTCGTTCTCAGCCTCGCGCTCCAGCTGCTTCAGTGTGTTGCGTTTCATTTGCCAAGTAATCTGTCGAGGCCGTCGATACTTTCCGATCCACTGCTTTCCAGGAATACCTTTTCGCAGAAGGGTGAGGGTGAGGAACATGATGGCAAATTATTTCTGTGAAAGACAAAAACAGCTGAAATTAGCTGAAACGGCTGTGGTGACAATTTATGACAGCAAAAGGGCTTTGGTGAAAATATAGCGGGGCTTCAGAGACACATTCAAAATTGGCAGAAAATAACCAAAAGACAAAGTGATTACAAACTTGAACATTTTAAATGAAAATGATTTCTTTTGAGAAAGGGCTAAAAATAAAAAGTACATTGAGGGAAAGCTGTCAGGTTATACTGCCATTAAATCCAATGAAGGTTGGGACAGACTGGCAATTGCTTGACAAACCAGTTTTCTAAGACGTTTGGATTTTCAAGTTTTGTTAAAAAAAAAGAAAAGAAAAAAAGCATACAATAAACAATTCCCATAATGCTAACTACATACTGCTATGAATCCAACTGTACACTGAGAAACTTCACTATTTCACCAATAAAACTTTATTTTAGGGGAAACTTTATTTTAACTTTAATCTAACAGCCACACTCAGTATGCGTCAGGAGCAATTCAGCGTTCAGTATCTTGCCCAAGGATACTTCGGCATGCAGAATAGAGCCAGAGATTAAGCCTCCAGCCTTCCGATTGGTAGACAACCCACTCTACCTCCTGAGCCACAGCCCGTAAAAAAAGAAAAAAAAATGCTGCAAATGATGAAACATAAAAAGACCAGATTCAAGCCATCATGCTTCATGCTGCATTCAGATTTTCCTTTTAAAAAGACCAAACGGAAGGAACAGAGTAGCTACCTAGACTTGGGAATGTATACACGGGACTCCAAAATATTTGGAGCTGCTAACCTTGCACCAACTTACTTTTTTAAAATATATCTGCAATCGTTTTTCCATCTGGGAAATATCTTTGATGTTTAGGTTATACATCAACAGAGTTATATAGTAAGGATTATTAGGTGGAAAATAATTATTAGGAGTATAGTGGACATAAAACTTGCTAAGAGTCTAACCTTGCCATTATAACTAATGGCGAGTTATTAAAAATAAATAAATAAAATATGCACACTATGACTATCCTATACTAATCCTCTTGCTAATTAAAATAAATCTGACTTACATCTGAATTATTCATTTATTCCAACATTCACTATAAATATTGCAATGACATCCTTAAAGTACATTTTGGGGGTCATGTTAATTGTGTAGTGATACTCGGATATAAAATATATTATATATGATATAACAGGAAACAACTAGGGTTATAATGCAAAATGAGGAGCCTGGTGATGTGCATGAATATAGTGGCATGGGACAAATTTCTAGCAAAACCTACATTTGCCCCCTAAATTATCTGCTTCGTGAACCAATATCAAATGTTAATTATACTACCAAACATTTAGAAAAGGTACGTTTTTGTCCAACGGTTTTACTGAGGTCAGATTAAGCTGTATGTGATTCATCAACTAAAAACAACCTTGACGCCCCACAAGTAAATGCCCTTAACACAGAAACCGTTATAAAAAGAAAAAATTAATAAAATGTATTAAGAGTCTAACCTTTTTGTTATAAAGGTGGGAAAATATTTAAAAATATGGAACAAGCAAATACCTCAGCGTGGTTTAAATGCAAAGCTGTAAATGGAAGCTCTAAACGAAAGCTAATGTCAACCGTGCTTCACGTTGCAGAACAAGGACAGTTTAAAAACGCATCATTTCAGAGTCACAGCGGGCACACAATGGGAAACCACGCATCTAATCTTTAACTTACCTTGTGACTGCGTTAAAAGCAGCCGAATCTCTGACCAGAAGACAGGTTCACTCTATTTGATTATAATACAAAGAACAAAAAAGGCAGAAAACAAGCCGCATAACTAGCATCCGCAGCTAACTTCCCGGGTCATTGGTTGTATTTCCGGGCAAACTATGGGGCCTAAAAAGGCCCAAAAGTCTTCCGAAATACGCGTTTGTTTGTTTGTTTTTAAAGAAAGGCTTAAAACTATTTATAAATGTGTAATTAGGAAATTATTAGAAAAAAAGTATCATACACTGAAATTTAAATTGTTTATCAGGTCGTGTCATTGCAAATTTGCGCATCTGAGCGTTAAAAAAAACTGCTACTTTATTTAAGTTGTTTGTTTATTGTGAATTTAAATGCTGCAATTCATATAAACCTTTTTTTCTGATCAAATTTTTTTGTTTGATATCCTGGAAAACCTGCTGAGTCAGAGGTGGTGACTAAAGATAACTGACCCACCAATTACCGCTTTTTTTCTTTTCTTTTTTTTTTTTTTTTTTTACAGCCTCGCTGATAATTTGTCAGTCTCCTCCCATCATGGAGTGGCTTTAAGATCAGGCTCCCAGCGCGTTTCCTCAGTTCCTTTTCCAGCGCTTTCAGGAAGAAAGTCTAAAATGTTTTTCACATTATTTTCACCAACCACTTGGACGTTGCTGGCGATCGTGTTTACCCTGCTTTTGCTGTGAGTATTCTGCGAAGGAAACACATGGGTGTCAAGCTTTGTTATTAGTTGTGATAGTTATTGGTTTATAATAACTGATGTCATGTCGATAGCAGCTATTCTTCTTTTTTTGTAACACAGGTATGGAATTTGGCCATATCGTTTTTTCAAAAAGCTGGGGATACCTGGACCATCGCCTCTCCCTTTTGTTGGAACAGGGCTTGGCTTTAAAAAGGTAAGGAAACCAAACACCAACATAGTAATACACCTCACCTTACAGTAAAAAGGAGCTGACTGATGACTGACAATGAGTACCTGTCTTCTCTATTTAATTTGAATGCATACATCCATGCATACATGCATCTTCTTGTAGGGAATTCTTGCTTTTGACCAAGAGTGCCATGCGAAGTATGGGGACATCTGGGGGTGAGTTGTTGCTTCATGTGAAAGATGTTTTCAACTCATGTATCCAAGTACACTTAGCTGCACTTACGTGTCTTTTAAATAAGCTGTACGTGACTAAGATTGGGAATATTTCCTGTTTTTATGAAGGTGTTCCTCCTTTGGACCTGAAATAGTTTTTTAAAAGTGCAAATCTCTTTTGGCTGAAGCATGAAGATCCAAAATGTTAACTCAAATGACTAGATGCCTCCTTTTTGCAGGTTGTACGATGCAAGAACACCGGTTTTAATGGTGGCTGACCCTGAGATTATTAAAACTGTCACTGTGAAGGAGTGCTACACTGTGTTTACCAACCGCAGGGTAAGAGACCATTTGTATCACATAGCAAAGTGAAACCTACGCAATGAGACCTTTGTGGGTTTATTTGCATGAATGTGTTAATTTAGCCGTCATTCAGTAGCAGGAATAGTTAGACCTGCCTGGTTTTGTCGGGTGGGTACTAATGAAACATGGGAAACGTATTTTTTTTCTTCAAATTTGTCATTTGTACTCACTTATGCACATATTAAAAAACAGCATTACAGACAGAACAGACGTGCTTGTTATTCTAGTTTGTTATTAATCTTTGTGCTAAATTAAGATAAGTTGCAGCTTGTTGTATAGTTATATATTTGACAAAAAAAATTACAATATACATTTCCATATGTATTCTATATGTACATTTTAAAATATATTTTTTTACTTTCTTCTATGTATAATAATAATATGCACACCATAGAGTCAACCTAGAGATAAAGGTGTAAAGACATTATAGTTGCATTACATTATCTCAGCAAAGTTCATAAGTTGATGTTGGACATGGAGATGCTGGAGGAAGCTAAATTTAAGCTTTAAGTGTAATTTAATTTTCACAGGATTCTGGTTTTATGAATGGACCTCTGGATGATGCAGTTTCAGTAGTCAAAGACGAAAGGTGGAAAAGAATTCGGAACACCGTGTCCCCATGCTTCACCAGTGGAAGACTGAAACAGGTTGATATAATGTATCAGTTATGTTGTAACTCCAATTTTGTTAATCTGTCTTAAGGAAATTCTCTCTCATGTCTTGTGAAAAGTTCTGTCTTTCTGGTCCAACATCGTTAGTTACATTGATGTATATAGTATCTACATTTTTTTTTTGTCTCTGTAAACCCACTGACATGCATTCCAAACAAAACATAAATAATATAATTCTCCTACTTTATCTCCTTGTTAAGGTTTATCCCCTTGTTGCTCGCTATGCAGACCGACTTGTTGCTAAACTTGAGGAAACAAATTTGGATGAACCCATCAATGTCAAACAGTATGTTGTTAATCTTTAATATGCCAGCATATTGCATTGTTCATCCTATAGTAAATAATGCTCTGACTTGTCTTTTCCAATTCTCATAGGTTTGTGGCTCCTTACAGTTTAGACACTGTGACCAGTGCTTCTTTCAGCGTGGAGACAGACTCCATAAACAATCCAAATGATCCTGTGAATGTGCAGGTCCAGAAGGTCCTTAACTTCAAATTTTGGCCTATACTTTTCCTAAGTATGACCTCCTTTTGACCCTTATTCAAACTCCATTTGCTCATATAGTATTGCTAGGTTTTTAATTTTTGTTCAACTGCTCTTTTGTCTCCTTTCAGTGATTTTTCCCTTTGGTAAACATCTGCTGGAGCTCCTGAAGATTGAAATCATGCCCAAAGACAGCATTGACTTTTTCTACAACATCATTAAGAGATTTAAAACCCAGCATCGTGAAGATGAATCTGTAAGAATAACATTTATAAAAGAAGTTCAACATTTCACAAAATCAAAGGCTTTCTATTTTGTTACATTATATTTAAAGATTAATGTCTGTGAAGTGCAGCAATCAAGATCATTATATTAGCTTGAAAACAGGAAATGAGCTGCCTACCCTTTATCTACAAATTTTTGTTCTGGTTTATTTTAATTTGTATTAAAAAAACAAAACTAAAGATGAGAAATGTGTTTTTTTCCACAGGTTTAATAACCTGACTATTAGCTGGTCAACAATTGAAAACTGTGTTCATCTTTTACATACAGTCTACCCATATTGCAGATATAATTTGCAATTTTCTTCTGCTGTTGTCTTTCAGTCACCCATATTTGAGTCAATAGACTTTGAGCAAGTTTGCATTTGTTGCTGATACTGAATGTTGTCTTTTTGGTCTAGGCCCGAGCAGACTTCCTGCAGGTGTTAATTCAGAGTGAGATCCCAAAAAAGGAGTATAAGAATGATGAAGAACAGCCAAATAAAGGTATGTTTTTACCAGAGGTAATCCATAAACAGGGATATTATATCCCTATAACATCCCTGCAAATATTTAGAGACAGCCAGGCTGGCTATGAGTATCAAAAATGTACACCAGGAAGGTTGGACTTTAAATCAGTGTTTAACCAATACCAGTCAGTTATTACATTAGGACTACACTAGCTTTGAATATGATTCTGAAACTGACAAGGATTTTTCTCTTTTTGATAGGTTTGACTGAACATGAGATCCTTTCCCAGGCCTTGGTCTTTATCTTGGGAGGCTATGAGACCACCAGTACCACTCTAACATACATGCTTTATAATCTGGCCACCAACCCTGATGCGTTGCAGACCTTACACAAAGAAATCGATGCTAACCTGAAGAAAGATGTACAGTAATTTCTCACATAATTTGTCTTGTTACTGTAGCAGACAGTCTTATCACATTTTCCTTTTTTGTGATTGTGTGTTTTCATATTTTGCCTAGGCACCCATTTCTTATGAGGAGCTGACCGACCTGCAATACCTGGACCATGTTATACTCGAGTCGTTGCGTTTGATTCCCACTGGCCCTCGGCTCGACAGGACATGCAAAAAAACTGTGCAGGTGCATGGCCTCACCATCCCTGAAGGAACCGTAATTGGGATTCCTGTGTGGCTGTTGCACAAAGACCCACGCTACTGGAACTCACCTGAGCTTTTCAGACCAGAGAGGTAAATCTGCAATCTTATCAAGAACCAATCTTGGTTAAATCTTGGAAACTATTACTAAAGAAAGGGTGCTTTACAAGGTTTATTTCTATAGACTAAGCCACTCATATCACTTTGTCTTTGTAAACCTTACAAACAAATCTGACATAAATGCTGAAATACCGTTGGGTTTTCTGACAAGAAGTGACTCAAAGACATCTACACAATCATCACAACAAGACAAAGCAAGGCTGTATCAAAATTAGTTATAGATTTGTTTTAAATACATTTATAAAAAGATTCAATTTCTTTTCATCTTTTTTAGATTTCTCTGTATTTGCATAATTCCTTCTATTTAAATATATACAAATTATAGTTCCCATCAGTTTATTCTTAATATTTCAAGTAATGAAGTGATGACATTTTGACATTTTTGAAAATTTAATGAAAATCAAAAACTTGAATCTCTCATTTGTAACACTCAGGTTCTCTTAATTGGATAGTTTGCAACAGTCCCTTTGGCAGCAGGTTCCACACATGGATTTTGGGCCATTCATCCCATTTATCCTGACAGATCCTCTCGAGCAGACTTCATGAAAAGTTTTAGGTCCCTTTACTTTTAGTCAAGGATAGCCAGAGACTTATCCAGTGGCGTCTTAAGACTGTGTTAAAGCTTCATCAGGATGTGATTTAGGAGACGCCGAATCTTATCTCATTATAGACACCCAAAAACTTTCTGTAGTCCAGGGGCCACGCTGTGCTGTAGAGGGTTAACAGTATTCGTTTTTGTGTTAGAGCACTGAAGTTAAAACTACAAATATTCTTACTGAATACTACACCTGAAATTAATGTAAAAAAAAAAAAAAAAGAATTCAACAGAGAATTTTTTGCTACTGTTTCGAGTAGCTAGATTATCTGCATCCTCTGTAACAGCATGCAGAGCCTTTTCCTTTTACGTAGTAACTCCATGATTTTAAAGGCTTATTTGATCTGTATCTGCAGGTTCAGTAAAGACAGCGGGGAGGAGGTGAACCCATATGCGTACATGCCGTTTGGACTCGGCCCTCGTAACTGCGTTGGGATGCGCTACGCCCTCCTCGTCATGAAGATGGTTATTGTCCGTCTCTTGCAGAAGTACACTTTGGAAACGTGCAAAGAGACCATGGTAAGAGCAACACTCCTCCACATTCAGACTATGATGCTACTTTTTTGTCCTGTCCCTGATGTTACATCCATTTCTTTTCTCTTCTTTAGATTCCACTTCAGTTTGACTGGAAGTTTCAGCCAGTTCAGCCTGTAAAACTCAAGATTGTTCCCAGAAATCAGTAATCTAAGAGGGAACATCTTCAAATCCCATCAAACATGTTATTTTATGCTTTTGCTTTAACGTGAGGGAACTGCTGCCAGGAATGACATTGTTCATGTAATTTCTTTTTTCAGCTGCTATTTTGATGAATCAAATGTATTTTAATTCCCTTTTTTTACTGTGTTGAATGTTTAATCTGACTTTTCTGTGTTCAAAAAACACATCTACCTTTGCTATTTCTCCTTTTATGGTTAATTGCATGAATTTCTTGATGACATTATTGGACTTGTGACTTCTGAAAAGTGCAAACATGCATATTATCTTTTGACACTTCTGCTTTATGGGTCACATTTCTTCCTTGTTTGGTTTCTTTTTTTGTGTCAGTTTGGTAGAAATTGGTGTCTGTTCATGTATGAGCTTCGTGATGCAATAAATACAGTTACAACTAGAAATTCAGAGTCTTGTGAAAGTCTGTCTTGAGACTGTCAGGGCCATGAAATAAGCTGCTGGCAGTGAACACACATCTCCCTGATGCATGTAGCTTATTATTGGTGGCAGTGGCGGTCCTAGCCTATTTAGCGCCCTGGGCGAACACTCCCTCTGTGTCCCCCCAGTTTAGTCTGTTACTGTAACCCACATAATTTCCTTAGGGATTAATAAAGTATTCTGATTATGATTCTGATTGTTTCAGGATGACCTGCCATTATCCAATGACACATCTGCTTGTATCTTTTGCTCGTTTCTCCTCCTCTTCTTTTCTCTTTTTTCTAAACTGAGCACCTGATGGCTTTGAACTTTTCTTGTCCATCTTCCATTGGTTTTAATTTTGCACTCCAGTATGAACACCCATCCCCCAACACAAGGATCACCACAACATGACCTAACAGACCTACACCTTAGTTCACAGATTCGATTTGTCTAGGGTTTATTTCTGGGATTTCACACAACCCAGGATTCAGATCATGAATACATAATGGGCTTGGATTTACAGCATTATGATTGAAATATGCTCTATTTGGAAGCAGCCCCTCCCCTTTCGACGGGTTGTGTGTGAGACTTTAAATTATCAAACTGTAAATTATAAATTTTAAATTGTTATTGATCCCTTTACCCCTGGTCCTAAAGTGTATATTTATTTTCTTACTCTTCCTATATATATATTGTTTGTTTACTTGCACTGCTGTAACTGGAGCCTCGTCTCTCTAGATACTGTACTGTATGTAGCGGAGATGACAATAAAGTTTACTTTACTTTACAAGCAGACGCACTCTTGCGTTCACTTTTCGCGTATAGAACTTCGAAAAAAACATATTAAATTATGTTTTTTCGAATTATAAGTCTGTATCATAATGTCTGGTGTTTTCGTGTTTGTTGGTTTGTTTTTATTTTGTTTTATTTTGCGAGTTGGTTATTAGATGCTGCTCCAGCCAGCCAGAGAATCCCCCGCCGCCCCGCCCTCTCCTCCCTGAGCCGCAAGCAGCAGGCGCGCCTCGCAAACGGAGGGCACCCTTACTCCCAGCAAATGGGCGATAGAAAACCGATCGGTGCCTATGCCATTACCAATATGCGCTGGCATGATGTTGGGGCAGCATGAGTACGAGCAATTTTATTTTATTTTTTTGCCGATGCCCGTGATGCCGCCCCGGGCAAACGCCCGTGTCACCCGTATCAAAAACCGCTACTGATTGATGGTATCTGTCTCCAGCGTCAACAGCTGCCAACCAGTTTCTACTGATAATTTGTTTTAAACGTTGACAGCTGTCCACTGCTGATTATATCAAAAGGAAATCTTACAATATGTCCTCAAATCCAAACGCTTGAATTATAAATTTGTACTTGATGTACTGAATCTTTTTATTTTATTTATTTATTTATTTTTACCAAATTCCAGAACAAAATCCTAAACCTGAACTTCAGTGCTTCTGTTTTTAACAGGACTTTATAAATTTATAAGTCCATGAGTACAAGAGTTGTATCTTCTCTTGTAACTTGCAAGACTACGAATAAGCACGTTTCCCGTAATGTAGTACTATTGTTTTAGATCTTGAAGAAGTCCTCTGCTTCCAGACAGGAGGAGTCATTAGTTATATTAATGGAGTAAAATCAATCATAAACATTTAATTAATTTATCCAAACAATCAAACAGTCATGCAACATAAACAGAGTCACGTATATAACTAACGGTAATAGCGGAAGTCACTTTTTTTGAGATTTTCAATTAATGAAGTTCCCTAATCTAAAATTATAACTTGCAAATGAAGTGAAAATGTCACTCAAGTGAAAATTGTATGTGATCTATTTTCTACTCTGACAAATTAAATGTACAAAAATAATGATGATGGTGATAATTTGAAGGCATAAAAGGATAAAAAACAAAATGAACTTAGAGTTATCTTTGGTAATTTAATTTTTATACCTTAAACTTGGCAACGTGAATACAGCACAATAATTGAGTTGGCTGATGTAGTTGTCTGAAAACCACCTGAAGCTATGAAGTATACAGGTGAGCTCAAGAACTGTATACAGTTCTTGAGCTCACATCCAAGAATAGTTTATATATAAACTATTCTTGGATGTGTTTGGGTGCGTGTGTTTGCATTATAAAGTTTGCTTTTTAAGACCCATTGGTAACACACTTTTGTATTACACAATCAGTCATCGGTGCCAATAGTATCTAGGGGAAGAGCCAGCAGGTGACCTGATTATCACAACCTTTTAAGGAAATATTGCAGTAGGTTGTAAGTAAATAAACTGTGGCCTAGAAAGCATTTGTTTTTAAATGGAGCTACTGACACCAGGTTGATTTACCCGCCCCAATGAGAAATTATCAGCAGTAAAGGTGAGACAGTGAGCATAGACACATGGCATACATGGCATAGAGCCTGCAGACGCTACATGATGGGTTAAAGTGTAACTGACAGTAATATAAGAAGATAATCTGAAGTGGTTGCTCCTTTGTTTATATCAGTGTGCAGGACACTGAAATAGGAAAACAGCAGGACGTTTCTGCCATTTTCCACCTTTTTAATTGGTGTAGCACAAAACAGCCTTAACCACAGTGTCTCTGCAGCGCAGGGAACACTGCTGGTTTTCATTCTAGCCATCCAGTCATCCAGTCATCCTCCAGCCCTCACCTTCAGGTGTGAGCAAACCTTTAATGACATTATTCTTTGCACGTTGTCACCACAAGCATTTTTTAGTCTGTTTTAATGTGTCCACCTAAGGGTCCAAAGTAATTGAGCATGATTTATAAAGTGGTGGGAAAATCAATTTCACAGTTGTAGACAAAAAGGAAACCATAA